TACACAATCCCACTGATTTGAGTCCTAACAAAGACTCACAGTGACCTCAAAGCTCAAACCATAAGCTTCCAGCTCAGGTAAGAATGATTGTCACATAGCTCTGCTAAACTCACTCCTTTGCAAAAGAGATGGTTATACTCTTGTTGTTTCAATGATTAATAATCTTTGACGCTGATTAATCTGGAATTCATCCACAGCTTCTACTCACTTATAGTAGAGACAAAGAATCAATGAACCTCCTTTTCCTATATAACTTGGGACCTTCTTGTATCCAGAGAAGAAAAGAAATGTTAAAACATATGTTCATATAAGAGCTGATACAGGGAGGAATCAACCTGCCTGACTTCAGACTATACTACAAAGCCACAGTCATCAAGACAGTATGGTACTGGCACAAAGACAGAAATATAGATCAATGGAACAGAATAGAAAGTTCAGAGATAAATCCACGAATCTATGGACACCTTATCTTCGACAAAGGAGGCAAGGATATACAATGGAAAAAAGACAACCTCTTTAACAAGTGGTGCTGGGAAAACTGGTCAACCACCTGTAAAAGAATGAAACTAGAACACTTTCTAACACCATACACAAAAATAAACTCAAAATGGATTAAAGATCTAAATGTAAGACCAAAAACTATAAAACTCCTAGAGGAGAACATAGGCAAAACACTCTCCGACATAAATCACAGCAGGATCCTCTATGACCCACATCCCAGAATTTTAGAAACAAAAGCAAAAATAAACAAATGGGACCTAATGAAACTTAAAAGCTTTTGCACAACAAAGGAAACTATAAGCAAGGTGAAAAGACAGCCCTCAGATTGGGAGAAAATAATAGCAAACGAAGCAACAGACAAAGGATTAATCTCAAAAATATACAAGCAACTCCTCCAGCTCAACTCCAGAAAAATAAATGACCCAATCAAAAAATGGGCCAAAGAACTAAACAGACATTTCTGCAAGGAAGACATGCAGATGGCAAAAAAACACATGAAAAGATGGTCAACATCACTCATTATCAGAGAAATGCAAATCAAAACCACAATGAGGTACCATTACACGCCAGTCAGGATGGCTGCTATCCAAAGTCTACAAGCAATAAAGGCTGGAGAGGGTGTGGAGAAAAGGGAACCCTCTTACACTGTTGGTGGGAATGCAAATTAGTACAGCCACTATGGAAAACAGTGTGGAGATTTCTTAAAAAGCTGGAAATAGAACTGCCATATGACCCAGCAATCCCACTTCTGGGCATACACACCGAGGAAACCAGATCTGAAAGAGACACGTGCACCCCAATGTTCATCGCAGCACTGTTTATAATAGCCAGGACACGGAAGCAACCTAGATGCCCATCAGCAGACGAATGGATGAGGAAGCTGTGGTACATATACACCATGGAATATTACTCAGCCATTAAAAAGAATTCATTTGAATCAGTTCTAATGAGATGGATGAAACTGGAGCCCATTATACAGAGCAAAGTAAGCCAGAAAGATAAAGACCATTACAGTATACTAACACATATATATGGAATTTAGAAAGATGGTAACGATAACCCTATATGCAAAACAGAAAAAGAGACTCCGATGTATAGGACAGACTTGTGGACTCTGTGGGAGAAGGCGAGGGTGGGATGTTTTAAGAGAACAGCATCGAAACATGTATATTAATTATCTAGGGTGAAACAGATCACCAGCCCAGGTTGGATGCATGAGACAAGTGCTCGGGCCTGGTACACTGTGAAGACCCAGAGGGATCGGGTGGAGAGGGAGGTGGGAGGGGGGACCGGGACGGGGAATACATAAATCCATGGCTAACTCATTTCAATGTATGACAAAAACCACTGCAATGTTGTAAAGTAATTAGCCTCCAACTAATAAAAATAAATGGGGAAAAAAAAAAAAGAGCTGATACAGTTGATCTTCCATTGTCAAGCAGAAATCATGCTTTCCTTGTCACCAAAATTACAAAGGCTAATCTATTTAAATCTTAAGTTTGTGTTTGTTAGTTGCTGAGTCATCTCTGACTCTTTGCGACCCCATGGACTGTAGCCCGCCAGGTTCCTCTGTCCATGGAATTCTCTAGGCAAGGATATTGGAGTGGGTAGCCATTCCCTTCTCCAAGGGATCTTAAGTTTACATAAAGCCAACCTCTGGCTTTTCGTAAAAAAAAAAAAAAAATTTAAGGCAATTATACCAAGAATTACACAAATTGCACCAGCTGTCAGACACATTGGCAGCCCACAAATGCCCCTTAAAACAGCAGATAAAACATTGTCATTTCAGGACTCATTCTTCACAGAACACCCTGAGTCACAAAATAACTCCATAAATGCAGTATTCATAGAAGTCACAAGAAACTAGTATTGCCATGGTATCTTGAACATGGCAGGAAACAGATGAATATTTGTAGCATTAATGATACTACAACATTTAAAAATCCACTGGATAGGTTAGCAGATAGGAAATAAAAATACAAATATAATAAGAACAAATAACAAAGGAAAAATCTTAATGGGAGATATTAATTTTTTATATTTGTTCTGGTAATGCTGAGTTAAAACAAAAATAACCTCCATTAACTTAAACCATTTCCATTTTACATCAGAAACAGCAATTTTTTTTACTTACTTTTGCTCTGGGCTTCTCACAAAAGCAATGAGCGCTTTTTTTTTTTAATTAAAAAAAAAATAATGCTACCAAAGCTCTTCTAAGGAATTTGGAAACTTTTTTCCCAAGTAATATTTAAAGAAATTGTTGAACAGATTTTCCACTACTAATTGTAATGGCAGTTAATTTATTTCCTCTTTGGTCCTCACGTAAAGTTTTATAATTCATATTAATAGCATGTGAGGAAATCTACCACCTATATTATCTAAAAGGGTGGTATTCTGACTAGAGTTGAATTCATCATTTTCCATTGGAAATACATCCTCAGTATTGGCCAAGAATTAGTACGGTGAAGAAAATAAGATCAAATACTTGCTGAATACAGGCTCTCAGGCGTGCGTGCATGTGTGCGAAGTCGTTTCTGTCATGTCCAATTCTTTGCGACCCTATGGACTATAGCCCACCAGGCTCCGTTGTCCATGGGATTCTCCAGGCAAGATATACTGGAGCTGGGTTGCCAAGCCCTCCTCCAGGGGATCTTCCCAACCCACAGATCGAATCCACATCTCTTATGTCTCCTGCATTGGCAGGTGGGTGCTTTACCACTAGCACCACCTGGGAAGCCCACAGCCTCTTTTAACAGGAAATAAACATCAAGGCGCAAATTCACAACGTGAGCTCATGTCAGTGCTAAACACTGAATAAATCCAAACTTGTTTGAATCTCCATGCTTCTTTCATTTTACATCAGATACCACAGACTCAGCCAATACTTCAGTTTTGATACCGTAATCTGTACATAAAATTATAACTATTACAACAACTCATATTCACACAGCCTTTCAATTTACAAAAAAGCTACCACGCACGTTATTCCATTGAGCCCTCACAAATGCCAAGCTCTGTGTTGCTATCTCCATTGGGGAAACTGAGTCCTAAAAAGGGTGGATGACTTGCTCCATGTTGAGGAACTATTAACTAACAGAGCAGGGCTCCTGACTGCCAGTCTGGGGCTGTTTTTGTTCAATTGCAGAGGCTTCCAAGGACAAGGTATTCTTCATAACAAAAATAAGACAAAATTCTGATTCATCGATTCATAAATTGTTTTTTGTCTCTCTGTATGCAATACTGTCCTGAGCCTCTGCATATACATATTGGAGAGCTGGGGTGGGGGTGCAGGAGTGGAGGCAGTGGTGATTGTAAAACAAAACACACATTAAGTGGGAATGGTTTGGATTAAACATTTTAACATTGGTTGCTGAAAATAAATACCTAAGACACTGACCTACAATTATAAAACTGAAAGTGACCTTGGAAGTCATCTGTTCTTTTTCCATTTCACAAATGAGGAAAATACAGTGATGGAGAGAGCACGACACTCCCTAAAAGTCACCGTGGTAACTGCTGACAGCAGACCCAGCACCATACAGAGTCGGGCTCTCTTCCACTCTATGCCCTGATTGTGTCTGCAAATTAAAGGATAAGCACAGTCCAGATATTTACAAGGAAACATCACAGTGCTAGAAAGATTAGAAAACTAGACCTTACACACCAACATTATGAGTGTAAAAATTATTGATATTTTATATATCATTTAAAGCAGCAGGAAATTTATAAGAAAAATAATCAATGTATATTTTTTAGCTCTCATGATTAAGGTTGAGGATAATCTAAAATATAAATTTTCCCTTTAGATACACAGTTTTTTGAATTTTGTTATAATAATGAAAGATTTAGGTACATTCAAAAACAGGATAGTCTCTCAAAAATGTCACCACTTTTAACTTATATGAAGAATAAAAAACAATAATAACATCTCATCTTTTCTAGATACAGGTCTTTCAACCAATTACCTATGTTACCTGTCCTGTTCACACCAGTTACTTATCTTTTTCAGGAGTTTTCTGAAAATGATTAAGCTATTTTTGAATGTAGGTTTTTCTTATTTTGTTTCTGAAACTTAAATTCTAGGCAACAAACTCTCTGAAATTTAACTGCCCAACAAATCTAAATATGGCTCAGGTTATAAGCCATTTACTACTTACATGATATTCATTTCCACATTTAAAAAAATAAATAATCTATTTAGACTTTATTGTACCTGTGAGTCCTGTAAAAGACTTCTTCACTCTCCAAATTAATAAGAAATTCCTTTTGAAGATGCAAAATATAAGAGTTTTCAAAATATTACTGACCATCATTCCATAGAGAAAAAAAAAAACACTTAAGTAGACCAAGAGTAAACCACACAAATTATAGAAAACATTGACAGCAAAATTAGTTTTCTGTCTCTCATTCACAAGATCATTTTTTCACTTTAATACAAGGCCTAATCTACAGTAGACACCAGTACAAATTGAGAGAAAAGTCCATCCTTCATGTTCTGATCAATCTGAAGACGATTTTTTCCAGAGGTGAAGAGCTGCCTGAATTCTGAAGTGTAGTCTGGACTCCAGTGAGTAATCTTTGTAGTTATTTCTAAAGACAGATAACAATAAAATTTTAATATCAAAATTCCTTTATAAACCAGGGCACTACCACCCTATTCCCCTCCCTCTCAGCTTCATTCTTTATCTACTCTCAAACATCACTATGCATAACAGTGGATTTTGTTAAAATGAAGATTCTATTCCTGGGAAGAGAGGGGGATGACAATATTCTGTATTTCTAGAAGTTTCCAGGTGATGGTCTAAAAATCCTACTTTGAATAGCAAGGTTTGTACTTCTCCCAAACAGCAAGAAGGTTATGCTGAGGGCTTAAAAAATTCTATGAACTATTTTTAAATAGCTGACCTCCTTTTCTAAACTGGAAATTTTAGGCAACCTCATATAAACAAGGTGAAGAGGATCATTCACCCCCTCAAAAGAAAATTTAAGTTAAATACACACACACACTCATGAAACAACAGCGACAACAAAGATAGTAGGATTATTTGGTAACAACAAAATTACTTACTCCAATTCTCACAGGCAATATCAATGGTTTGGTCAATAACTATTATGTGACAATGTCAGGAGGGGAATTAGAAATCCACAGATTACTTTAAAACTTCACTTATATCAACCACGTTGACTTGTCTTTGCTAGAATTGTTCAGACTCAGCAAAATGGAGTGGCTTGGATCTTGGGCTCTGTGTTCATACACACAACCTTGGCCCATGGGAAAGCTATATCTTTCTCTGCAGTGGCATTCACTTCTTTCTACAGTCCTTTATGTTATACAGGTCTAAGGATTACTTACTAATAACCTTGCTAAGAGTTATTATTCATAAGCTAAGCCAACATCTTACTAGAATTTACCAAAAGATGTAATTGAGTATTTCCCTAATTAACCTCAGCAGCTTTGCAAAAGCTCCTACTGTACAAGGAAAACTGCAGATAATCAACAGTCTTGAAATTATTGGGAAGTTTGTCTATGTTGGCATCACTAGCACTGTCTTGAGTTAGTGTTGACTTTTTGATCACTGCTGGTCTTGTTTTTTCTCAGTGAATTACTGGTCTTTTATTTTCATTGCTATATATTTCCTTTATATATTACTCGAAAGTGAAAGTTGCTCAGTCATGTCTGACTCTCTGCAACCCCATGGACTGTAGCCTGCCAGGCTCCTCTGTCCACGAAATTCTCCAGGCCAGAATACTGGAGTGGGTAGCCATTCCCTTCTCCAGGTGATTTTCTCAACCCAGGTATCAAACCCAGGACTCCCGGATTGCAAGCGGATTCTTTACCATCTGATAACACTAAATATGTCCACATGATAAATACTCAGAAACAGAACTTTTAGTCCCAAATTTTCCAATGGCTAGATTTGAAGATACACGAACGTTAGCTGAAACGGGAGTCATACTCACTCTCAAGAAACTAAAAGTGACTTTCTCATATCTCTAGCTTAAAAAAATAAAAAAGTGGAATGGCTGACTCCACTTTCTCACTTCACTTGTCAAGCTGCTGATGATCTTCATGCTGCCAAATTCAGCAGCCACTTCTCTGGTCTCACCTTGCGTGACCTCTTGGCAACCATCTTCACAAATTCCCACTCTTCTTTTGAAACATTGTGTTTACTTGGCTTTCAAGGATGTCATCCTAACTCATAGCCACTTCTTAATCTTACTATTTAATCTCTAAAATAACTGCATAGCTCAAGGCCCTGTGCTGGATCTCCTTCTCTAGCCATACAACTTTCCCCAAATGACCCCACCACAGCTTTAAATATCACTGTCTCTGTCCTGGTGACATTCAAATATCTACAACTGGCCTTAACCTTTACACTGAACTACATGCTCATATAAATGACTGTTAACTCACCATCTCCACATGAATACCTATAGGCACCTCAAAATAACACAGTCCAAACAGAAGTATGTTTTTTTCCTTTCTTCAACCCTGATCCTCTAAGTATTCCCCATTTCAGTAAAGCATCATTATCACCCTAGTATCTTGACACCCTGCCCCTCCTATCCCCAGCCAGGAATGCTCCTCATCCAGTCTTCTGGTGATAGATCTTCTCAGGACTGGCTTTAATTATGCTAATCTCAACAACATAGTATCTCCTCAAGGAAACCTTTCAGAATCAACTCAATCTAAAGTAACACCCAGGTACCTTGTATCATATCATAAATCTCAACAAAGCATAAATCATTGCTATTTTTCTTATCTGTGTATTTACCATACCCCACAATTTAGAAAGCAGAAATATTGCCTGTTGATGCATAGTTGTTTGCCTAGAACCTTCTCTAGCATCTGGCACATAATAGGTACTCAGTGAATACTCACTTAATTTAAGGAAATGAACAAACCAATGAGTTATTAAGCCATTTATGGCCTAGAGCTATCATGGCATTCTTTCTCCACTGTAAGTAGTATTCAAAGCAAGCAGACCACAGGGTTTGTGTCTGCAGTAAACGAACCATGATCACAGGAAATCTGAGCGCCACTGTCCACCAGGATTGATAAAGTGCTTTGAAATTGCCATAATACCCAGAAAGAAGAAAGAGTCAGGAAGATTCAAAGGGCTTCTTCAAATCAGAGGCTTTTTAATGAAATGAGAGAGATGGTGGAATATACCAAAGGTCAGCAAACTATAACCAAAATTACGGCCAACTCTGGGCACACATATTTATTTACATATTGCCTTCTATGGCCACTTTCAATACAATTGAGTACTTACAATGGAGACCCTCTACTGAAAAGCCAAAAGTACTAACTGGCCCTTTATAGAAAAAGTTTTCTGATCCCTGATACAGAAGAGAATAGGTTAGAACTCTGTCCTGTAGGTACCCCCAAATCACAACATTTGTAAACAGTCACAGGGTCAGGCATTAAGAAGGTTGAAAATTGCACAATTCCAACAAAAGCCACAAGCAGAAATTAAGCATAAATTAGCAAAGGTAATATAATGACTTTTTCATTAATGTGTTCGTTTTTAAGTGTATCAAGTTACTGCTGTTGTAAAAACAGTATTGATATTCCTGACTCCATAGCAATGGAGGAAAAGCTGCCATTACCACTTACCTTGCAGTTTCTAGGACCTTTATGGCCTTGTCAATTTCTCCTTGGTTTTTATACAAAAATGCCAGTTCAAACAGAGTAAATGGCACTAGGTAGTGGTCATACTTCAGTAGCTTTTCACTAAAAGAGTGAATGAAAAGTAATTAAATCTAAACAGAAGAAGGAACATATCATTCTTTTTAAACATATATATTTTTCCCCATTCTTATGAAAATAGGTACAGCACTAAGTCTATTACCAGAGAAAAGCTATCATTATACACTTGAAGAATATAATAAACCATGGCAATAATCAGTATGCTTTTATTTTTTATTTATTTATTTTTAACAGTATGCTTTTAATATATTACTTTTTTTTTTTGGTCTCACTGTATGGGATACAGGATCTTAGTTCCCCAATCAGGGATTGAACTCACACCCCCTGCAGTGGAAGCATAAAGTCCTAACCACTGGAACACCAGGGATTTCCTCTATTACTCTTTTATTTTATTCCATGGTCTAAATTCAGCACTGAACATTGTTTACTGCCTTCCACATAGACAAAAACATGCAGATTTTTGAAGATTATCCTAGAAAGGACAAGATCATGAACATGTTCAGAAATGACTCCATTTAGAAAATGACTCCACTTATTTTTCACTAAGGTTTAACTCTCTTTACACTGTTTGTCTTATAATGCTTCAAAACGTCAAGAAAGAAGGGGCCAACACTTCCGCTTACAGCAATATGATGAAAATCACCTGACTTCCCAACATCTAGAAGCACTAAAACAAGTAAGAGCAACACCCTTTTAAAAGGAGAGCTCAGCTCACAAGAACACAGGGAGGACTCTCAAACTGAAAACAAAGCCAGAACTCTAATCATGTCGATGATGCCAAAGCACTCCTGGGTCTGTTTCAGCCAAGGCTTTGTGTCTCTATGTCGACACAGGAGGTAAGACCTTGGGCCCACATAATACGTACAGCAGGGGCTGAGACCACTCCAAAAAGCTGGGGCCCAGCTCCATCAGAGAAAGGGTAGAAGACGAAAACCCACTCATGGCACAGGAGGAAGACAAGGGCAATGGACTCTGTGGCCTATAATCTGGGCTCAGCTGCTTCAGTCGTGTCTGACTCTTTGCGACCCTATGGACTATAGACCATCAGGCTCCTCCACTCATGGGATTCTCCAGGCAAGAATACTGGAGTGGGTTGCCGTGCCCTACTCCAGGGGATCTTCCGGACCCAGGGATCAAACCTGCATTTCTTATGTCTTCTGCATTGGCAGCTGGGTTCTTAACCACTAGCGCCCTGTGGGAAGACTGGCCTATTCTCTAGGCAGGAAGAAAAAGCAAATCCCGTAAGAAATTAATAATCAATGGGTCTGTCCTCACCTGAATTTGCAATTCAAATTTATGTGGCCCAAATGATCCAAGAAGCTCTAAGCAATGAAATTAACATGAAAGTGGCCCAGGGTGAGAAAACCCTTTGGGGCATCTGGCAGAAATAAAAGCACAAGCGCTTAGAAAGAGACTCTTCCTCAATCCTAGCCTCACTGGAGTCTCAAGATGAAACTCATGGAAGCTGAGTTCACAATCCAAAACTATAAAACACACCAGCAAACTATCCACTATGAGATGCAAAAGACACAACAAATAGCCCAAATAGGTCATCCTTTAAATCCTAATAAAAAGGTCAATAAAAGAGAGCTCAATGGATACTTCTTTAACATATTTACTAAAGACAGCATATTATTAATTTGAGAAATAGACATTGTCTCTTTCCTCTTCTTATAAGGATAGCAGTCCTACATACTCAGAAAATATGGTTTGAAAAAGAGGATCAGTAGTTACAGATGGGAAAGCACATGATATCGAACAGAAGACGTCAAGCAGAAGTCCGTGGCTGTGACTTATTTGGTAAACAAAATGGTTTCCAAAAAATTGAGCCAAGGTTTAAAAATCAGATGTTACATAAAATTCAGATTCCAGGCTTTCAATCATAAATTGTAGGGATTATTACTAGTGGGCCCACACTGTCAAGAGTAATAATCAATTTGAGTTCAGGAGTGGCAGTACTCTTTAGAGAGACCACACAATCTCCCTGATCTGCAGTGCCCACCAATCCCCATCCCCACCATCACTCAGAAAGGTTACTTGTCTGGCCCCTGTAGATAACTGCATCTGCAACTCCAGATGCAGAGAAGAGGGCCAGACAACAGAACCTTGACTCAACTCACTAATTAGCAAAGGAGCAGGACATCATCATCAATGCTACTGAGGGGATAAAACTCATTCATCTACAGAAAAATGCCCCTTGCCAAAAGAGAAGCTGTTACAGCATTCATCACAGTTGTTCTTTTCTGCCAAATTTTCATTACAATGATGGTTAGTCTGTTTATTCAACTCTGAAACCCCAGGATTCAGGATCACAGATTCTGGCACATAGTGGGTACTCAAATATTGGTAGAATAAATGAATGACAGACAAATGCACAATCAAAAAAGTATCAGGTGCTCAGTATAACACTGCCAGAATTTAGACAGACACCTGTCAGCTTGGCTGTAAATTTAGCTTTCGTGAGTCACCTCTGAATACCAGGTGGAAAGGCATAAAGCCATGTTCACTTAGGTTATCATTTTTTTCTCAAAGAATAAAGAAAACATTACTGAATTCTCTTTCTGATAACACCAAGTAAAAAAAGGTTAGCAATGGAGATAAAAGCATCACTTTCTCACAGCAATTCCCCAGAAACTGCAATTTGCACTCAAGCTGGTTTCATTGTCTGCTTTTACCTTTGGACAACGTGATTGAAGCACAATTCTGCTTGCAAGGGCCGCTGTAAGTTCTTCAGGCAGCATCCTTTTAGCAGTTTCACTAGGCAGTCGTCATCTACGGAGTAGTCACTAGAGTCTTAAAGCAAAACACATACAGTTCACTCACAAAAACAAAAATACCCTACTTAAGAGGCAGCACTAACAGCTGTTAGGTTTCAGAGGGATCATTTAAAAATTAAAAAAATAAATGTTTAGCATTTCTATGCCTCACTAAATTCAGGGAAATACTTCAAATAAAAAGAATATCAAGTTTAATACTTCAACACACCATTTGATTAAGGGGTTCACTCTAGTCTTTTTTCACTTTATCACTCTAGCCACCTAAAAAAATTTTTTAGGTGCTCACCTCTGAGTTAAGTGACCTTAGGTAAAATAATAGGAAGTTTGAACTGTAAATAAAGTAAGAGCTTTATTAATTTAATGAAAGGTAAAGCAGTGAGGATCAAGCAGGCGGCCTCTTCCTGTGGCTCTGGCCCCTTACTGGGCTGGCTTCGTGCAGAAGAGGGTAACGCTTCCATGTGGAGAAGCAGATGGCCTTCTCCCCATTAAAAATTCAGGACGGAGAACACCCTCCCCAGATCATTATGTTTACAGCTTACCAGTTCTCCCAGGTTAGGTGCTTTGGGGGATGAAATTATATCATAAAATTAGACAAAGTGGTTCTGAAATACGTGTAAGGCACCTAAAATCCCCACAAACTTCTAACTGCATGAGGCTAACATAGAGGATCTTCTTTCAGGACATTTTTTCCTTTTGAAAACAACTCTACCTTCTATAGCCCAAGGCTAATACATATTAACAGAAGGAACCATATCGTGTGTGACATTTATCTGACAAAGGTGGCCATTTCGCATCTACCACTTTTGAATTTGGGTTTTTCTTTTTTGCAAGTTAAGTAGAAATAAGAAGTCATTCCAAGACAGACTGATAATTTATACATTTCAGGCTGTGACAACCCAGGTGGGAAGGGACAAAAAACCAAAATGATGAGGCTCTGAGAGTCCTTCATACTGAAATACTCTTGCTTTCAGGACAAATGTCAGAAATCACCATTAACGCATGCTGGTGTTTTAATCAGTAAACAGTTTTATGGGAGGTTAAGGATGCTACTTAACCAAGTCAAAGAAGGTTGCTTTATTTCTAGGTGCTGAAAATAGCTGATAATCACCTCTCACTTCCAAGATCTGACAAGTTATTCACTATGAAAATCACAGATATCAGTACTACATTACCTTCCCTATTAAAGACCATTCCCCCCCAGCTCAAAAAATTCTATTTATGCTTCTAATCAACAAACCAGATTGGGGCTATGTTTAGGATCTGCGGCTGACTGAATCTGCGAATGAGGAATATGTGGATACAGAGGGCAGAGTATGGAACTTGAGCATCCAAAGACTGTGGTATCCACAGTGAATGTTGGAATCAATTCCACGTGGAAAATAAGGGTCTTACTCAATGGTGGTATGTATTAGTCTATACTACAAAGGACAGACATTCAAACATTAGAATTTATTCTATTGAACTAAAACCCTCGTCTTTGTAGGAAAACAGAAGCAAGCTAGCCTACTCCTTTGGAGGAACAAATACCCTACACATGTTTTCACTGAATTAAAAAAAAAAGGTTTTTCTTTACCTTCCATTTCTCACATATACACTTACTTTAAAACATATTCATTTTTTCATCTAATTTGCAAATATGTGCCATTTAATCACAAATAATTCCCTTGATGACAAGAACAATGTTTTTCTACTATCACAATGCTATACCTGGTATGAAAAATAAGTGTTCAAAGGAACAAATTAATGAAAAGTGGCCAAATTAGTTCCACAAAAATTAGTACTAGTAAACTTGTTCAAAACCCTTAATAGATTTTACTGAACTGCAATTTCTGAAACCCATTTTTTTAAGTAAATTTTTATGGAGTCTTATCTCAGTTAAATTTTAAAATGATGTGGCACAACGTTGAATTTCCACTCAAATCAATGTAAATATTTTTCCTTTTGAAATTATTCTATATTAAAAATTGTAGAAAAAAAAATCTTACATCCATTAGCATGCCTACTACCAAAAAACAAACAAAACAGATAAAGAAAAGAAAATTACTAGCATTGTCAAGGATGGAGAGAAATTGAAACCTGTGTGCATTGTTGGTGGGAATGAATGGTACAGCCACTAGAGAAAACAGTATGTCAGTTCCTAAAAAAATTAAAAATAGAAATGTTACATGATCCAGCAAATCCACCTTGAGGCATATATCTAAAAGAACTGAAAGCAGCATCTGAATGAAATATTTGCATATACATGTTCATAGAAGTATTGTTCACAGTTGTCAAAAGTGGAAGCAACCCAAATATACATTGATGGATGAATAGATAAAATTTGGTATAAACATCCAGCGGAATATTATGCAGCCTTAAAAAAAAATGAAGGCAATTCTGACACATGCTGCAACATGGATGTACCTGGAGGACATTAGGATAAGGGAAATATTAGGCAGCACAAGAAGAAAAAGACTGCACGATTCCATCTATATAAAGTCTCTAGAGTAGTCAAATTCACAGTAATAAAGAGCAAAATGGTGATTGCCAACCACTGTGAAGAGCGGGAAATGGGGAGTTACTGTTTAAGGGGTATGAAAAAGTTCTCAGAACTGGCTGCACAACTGAGTGAATATACTTAGCACTACTGGACCATACAGTTTTAAAAATGGTCAATATGGCAAATTTTATATTATATGCATTTTCCTACAATTAAAAATGTAGAAGACAATGTAAAAATGTAAAGAGGTTTATTTTATCTATAATAAAGATTAAAATTTTATATAAAATTTTATATCTAAATTATAATTTAGATATACAATTATAAAATCTATATCTATAATAATATAATAGATCTAAAATTTTTAAATCTATATCTATAATATAATTATAGCTAATTAATAGATGTTTAATTAATTAAGAGTTAATTAATAGACACATACCCCTTGGAAGAAAAGTTTTGACCAACCTAGACAGCATGTTTAAAAGCAGAGACATTACTTTGCCAATAAAGGTCAGTCTAGTCAAGGCTATGGTTTTTCCACTGGTCATGTATAGATGTGAGAGTTGAACTATAAAGAAAGCTGAGCGCTGAAGAATTGATGCTTATGAACTGTGGTGTTGGAGAAGACTCTTGAGAGTCCCTTGGACTGCAAGGAGATCCAACCAGTCCATCCTAAAGGAGATCAGTCCTGGGTGTTCATTGGAAGGACTGATGCTGAAGCTGAAACTCCAATACTTTGGCCCCCTGATATGAAGAGCTGAGTCATCTGAAAAGACCCTGATGCTGGGAAAAATGAGGGCAGGAGGAGAAGGGGACAACACAGGATGAGATGGTTGGATGGCATCACCAACTCAATGGACACGAGTTTGGATAAACTCCAGGAGTTGATGGGACAGGATGGCCTGGCATGCTGCAGTCCATGGGTCACAAAGAGCTGGACACGACTGAGTGACTGAAGTGAACTATTGATGGGAATCTAAAGTTAGAATAATTTCAAATATGGAAAGTAATGTGTACAAATATCAAACCATTACACTGTACATCCAAAACTAATATAGTGTTATATGTCAATTATATCTCAATGAGAGAAAAGGTTATGATATAATAAATAAAAAATATAGGCTAGAGTATGTCCAGACACACTATGATCATAACTATAAAAATAAATCTGGGAGGGCATAAACAGAAACTCTAAATTAATTGTGCATAGTAGGAAAAACATGGCTGACTTTTTTCACCTACATTTTTCAAATGTAATGTTTAATTTTTTTAAAGGTAATTGTAAAGAGAAATCTCATTAAACAGTTCAGCCCCATGCTGTGGCCAAAGTAAAAAATGATCTAAATGAGGTGCTCATCCCTGGAGTCACAGATGATAATTTAATACTCCGTGTGGGGAGTATAGAACATGCAGCCAGTACCGCTTCAGTGCCCATTTTCCTCAAGTTAAGAAAAGTGAGTTAACTGTGAGAATTTTTCCTGACTATTCGTGAATTTCTATGCCTTTTACAATGTTTATCACCCTAGAAATTTTGGTTTTACTCCTGTGGTTCCAGAGGATAAGACCATTGTCTTGGAGTAACCTCTACATGATTTGAGGGTTGATAAGGGTACAATTAAAAGACGCTTACTCCTTGGAAGTAAAGTATGACCAACCTAATAGTATATTAAAAAGCAGAGACATTTCTTTGTCAACAAAGGTCTATCTAGTCAAGGCTATAGTTTTCCAGTGGTCCTGTATAGATGTGAGAGTTGGACTATAAAGAGGGCTGAGCACAGAAGAATTGATGCTTTTGAACTGTGGTGTTGGAGAAGACTCTTCAGAGTCCCTTGGACTGCCAGGAGATCCAACCAGTCCATCCTAAGGGAGATCAGTCCTGGGTGTTCATTGGAAGGACTGATGTTGAAGCTGAAACTCCAGTATTTTGGCCACCTGATGGGAAGAGCTGACTCATTTGAAAAGACCCTGCTGTTGGGAAAGATTGAAGGCAAAGAGGAGAAGGGGATGACAGACAATGAGATGGTTGGATGGTATCACCGACTCAATGGACATGAGTTTGGGTAAACTCCGGGAGTCGGTGATGGACAGGGAAGCCTGGCGTGCTGCGGTTCATGGGATCGCAAAGAGTAGGCACGACTGAGTGACTGAACTAACTAAGGATACAGTAAAAGCTATCACTTATGGCATTGTTTAGCAAAAAGATAAAGCCTCTATTCATGACAGAGAACTAGAAAATGTCACAGCAAGAAAACCCTGGGTTTCATTTTAAAAAAACCCAAAGGCCCTCCTGGTTATGGACAAGTTATGTTTCCAACAGACTCACAGCTGCGGAGCTGGGACACTAAGCCCAAATCAGCTGACTTTCCTCCTACCACGGCAGCTGCTTCCAATATAAGGAGCATCCAGTAAAGTGGAGAAGGGCTCCCAGTACAACCGGAAGTAATAAGCAAAAAAAATCAAATTGTGACAAGATTTCAACTTGAAAACAAATAATTCTCTGGGTCTGTAACAACGCAATAGTCATTAGAGAGCAATAAAGGAGGCGTGGAAAAAGTTAAAACCAACTAAAACCAGAAGTACACACCACTCCCCTTGTACTGCTCTAAAATTAAAACTGTCTTCATCTTTTTCTTTTTTTTTTTTTGTAACAGCTTTAAGGTAAAATTCCCATAACATACAATTCACCCATGTAAAGTGTACAATTCACTGGTTTTGAGTATATTACAGTGGCGTGCACCATCATCAGAATCAACTTTAGAACATTTTCAGCACCTCCAAAAAGAAATATCATACTCCAGGATGAATTGAGAGTAGTAATAACAGATATCACTACCATGTGTATAACAGATAGCTGGTGGGAATGTGCTATTTAGCATAGGGAGTTCAGCACAGCGCTCTGTGTCAGCCTAGAGGGGTAAGACGGGGGCGTGGGAGGGAGATCCAAGGAGGGGATATATGTATACATAGAGTTGATTCATGCTGTTGTACCGCAGAAATTAACATGACATTGTGAAGCAATGACACTCCAATTAAAAGATAACAAATTTTTAAAAAATAAGCAATCATGAAAAGAAGAAATGCCAAACCCTTGAGCGATCACACACCCCCAGTTCTCCACCCCTTGGCAGCCACTAATCTGCTGTCTTTATGGACTGATTTATCCTCGATATTTTATATAAACGGAATCATACACTCTGTTGTCTTGCCTCCGGCTTCTTTCACGGAGCCTCACGTCCCTAACGCTCATCCCTGTTGTATCAGGTTTCTTCCCCCTATCTTGACTGCAATCAACCGGACACCTGCGGCTCAAGCTCTTTTGTCCTCATCACACACACAGATCAACATGAGCGGATGTGCTCGGGGAAAGGATGGGAGGGGCAGCCGTAAAGATTTCCAGGCTCTTGCTTTTCATACTTACTCTCACTTTGTAGAGCTGCCTCGGCCTTTTCCACAGTTACCAACAGATTTTCAGAAAGGTCTTTTCTTTTACTCACTAGTGGAAAACCATTCCAAACATACATCATTTCCTAATGAGGAAAAATGAGAAACCATTCACAATTATGTGAGGTCATTCGGTGTACTTGACAACAAAGCTAAGTGTGAATGTTTTGCCTCAGTTGCTAGTGCTCTCAAGACATTTAGAGATCATTTTTCTTAGCTTTCATTTGGAGTTTAGTGATTTAATCTCCCCATTTTCAATTTATTTAATGCTTTTAATGCTTTTTGCCTTTTATACTACAAAATAGTTCAGTATATATAGTATATTGTGTCTTCACTGAAAAATTAATTTACTCATTTAAGAAGTATTTACTAAGCACCTACTGGTATCCAATCCTTCTAGAAGGTAATAAGATTACAGATAGAAATAAATATAATATTTTTAAAAGATATTATGAACAATTCAAACAAATTTTTGTTGTTACTCTTAAGTAAAGGGAAACATTTTTTCTATATCTGCCAATTGTTTACATAAAATGTTTCCAAGGACATCACTGCAAATGAACATAGGAAATATTTTACCTGGCTCAGGTTCTTTTATACCATTAAAAACATGTGGTAGTCCAGTAATGCAATCCAATATGCAGAAAATACATTCATTTAAAGGCCATATGGCAGAATGACAGCCCTCATTGCAAATTACATTTAATAGGCTAACAGATGAGAATTTTTCTCTTTTTTTTTTTGAACCAAAAGCAAATGTGCTCTTGCTTGAAAATATTTTTCTAATCTTCCTGGTAGTTCAGTTCATATTTTGAAAGGTATGAAGTAAGCAGGATAATTAGAATCTCCTTGGAAATAAATAAATGGTAAAATATGTTAAGATTGTTTGAACAGCCTCTTACAGGGAAGCAGTAGAAACAAGGAAAATACACTGGAGTTGAGTGACAGCAAAGTCATCATCACCTTTTGGGACTGAAAACTAAGATCACAACATTCTTGTTTTACATCTAAATTTTCTTATTAGAAATCGTGTTAAGAGTTCAATAACTTTTGGAATATTTATTTAAGCTGATGATTTTTTAAAATTTTATTTTTATTGATCGAACATTTTATCAGAAAAAGAAAAGTTTGTATCTGAACTGGTCATTTTGTGAAATATAGGATTTGGGTAAAATTCCTAGTTACCACAAATTCAAGCCAATTCTACACCCTTAGCCCTGGAGAAAGAAGTGCTGAGTCAACCTTCCTTAAGGCCCTTAGTAATCAGAGCAACATATACATCATATGTATACACCAGCATCTAAGTTTTAGGATGGAGAAAGGACTATGGTGCGCTAGAAAAATCCCAGGGAAGTTCCGTGACATGGAAAGAAAAAACCTCCCAGCATTAATCACTTGATAGAAATGAGGTAGGAATGGAGCTGAAAGGTGTCATGGGTAAAACAGCAGCAGGCTCCCATATTAGCTGGAAAAGGAGGATGTTTGGTCATTTTTGTGATTTGCATGGTGTTCTTCCTCTTACCTGTGCTCAGATATGATTGACAGAGTGGCCATATTTTTATCTCATTGCATCACAGGCACAGACCAGGCACAACCTGGTCTGAGGGTTCTGTTCTCTGAGATTGTTTTTCTTAAGTAGGAAACACCAGGGCTGAGGTACTAGGTGCAGGCTAGCCCCCAAAGGACACCTGTGAGGAGCTGCAGTTTTCTTCTCACAGAATATTTAAAGAGCTCCTATAAGTCAATGCGGCTTCCCTGGTGGCTCAGCTGGTAAAGAATCCGCCTGCAATGCAGGAGACCTGGGTTCGATCCCTGGGCTGGGACGATCCCTTGGAGAAGGGAACGGCTACCCACTCAAGTATTCTGGCCTGGAGAATTCCATAGGCTGTATAGTCCATGGGGTTGCAGAGTCAGACATGACAGTGACTTTCACTCACTTTGTAACTTGTAAGTCAATGATAAAATAATAAATAACCTAATAAAAAAATTAGGGAAGTAAGCCCATGAACAACGATTCACGAAACAAGAAGTAAAAATGAACAACCACATGAAAAGCTCAATCACACATTAAAAAAATAAAACACTGTTGGTAGGAATTTAAATCAGTACAGCCCTTCTGGAGAGCAATCTGGCAATGTCCAAGTATTAAATGCATATGCCCTTCAACTTGGAATTCTACTTCTAAATATCTCTCCCAGAGAATTATATGCCCATGTACAAAGAGAGCTATAGAAGAATATTCACTGTAGCCTGTTTGTGGTAATAAAAACTGGAAACTAAGCAACTATTAAAGGGGAATAATTGAATATACTCTGAAATAAAAAAAAAAAATCAGGAACCTCCAAAAAAAGACAGCAGATGTCAGCTTGCACTAAACAGTTTCCCTGTGTTACTTGACTACACACACAAACTAGACCCCAAAAGTTACTGTAATTTGATATATTCAGTACTTTTTAAAGAAATCTGCATTAAAACCATTTAACTTGAAATTATGCTTTTCATGAAGCCTAGCCTAAATGGCACATTGATCAAGAAGGGGAGCTCTAGCATTAGGCTACAACAAGCCACCAGCCACTTATGGCTCTGGAGCAATGCGGCTGGTTCAAACTGAGACACACTCTAAGCATAAAACACACACCAGGCTTGAGTGGATAAGTATAATATGAAAGAATGTGAAATCTCATTAAAAAATTTCAGAGATTACACACTCAAATGACAAAATTTTGCATGTGTGCATGTGTTCTCAGTCGTTCAGTGGTTTCTGACTCTTTGCGACCCCATGGACTCTAGCCTGCCAGGCTCCTCGGTCCGTGGAATTTTCCAGGCAAGAATACTGGAATGGGTTGCCATTTCCTACTGCAAAAATTTTGCATAAACCGGGTTAAACAAATATTTTGAAAACGATTATCATGTGTCCTTCTACTTTTTAATTTTTTTACCTTTTGATTTTTGAGGTAGCAGCTAGAAAAGGTAGTTACATATGTGGCTTGCATTATAATTCAACTCAATTTCAATTATGCCAACTCACCTCTCTCTGTCTGAATTTCCTTATTTGTCAAATGAGGCTACAAAGAAAAATTCCTCTCATAGAGTTACTGTAAGACTTAAATGATATATTTTATAAACAACCTTTATCAAACACAATGATTTTTCATTGAGGAAACTTCACAACAAAAGGTAGATGTTCTCCCTGCCCCTGAAACTAAATAATGTATTTCTAGGATGCAAAGAGTAAGTAAATAAAGGCAGATACCAGGGCAGGCAAAACAAGCTTCACGGGTGCTGGCAACGAGGGAGAGTAACGTCGAGCCTTCCTCACTGCAAACTTCTCAGTAGGGATCGATTTCCCAGCAATTCTCTGCTTCAAGCCATCCACCTGTCTGTGAAGAACCCCAGTTCCAGTGAAAGGTCATTAGAACACACGCAATATTTACACCTGTCCCTGTTATGCCTCGCTCCCCAGAGCAGTGGATCAGCACCACCAGGAACCCTGTTCAAAATCCAAATTTAGGCTCCACCCCAGACCTAATAGTGGTTTCCCTGGTGGCTCAGATGGTGAAGAATCTACCTGCAGTGTGGGAGACCTGGGTTTGATCCCTGGGTCAGGAAGATCTCCTGGAGAAGGGAATGGCTACCCAACCAGTATTCTTGCCTGTAGAATTCCACGGACAAGAGGAATCCGGTGAGCTACAGTCCGTGGCTTCTCTGGTAAAAGTGGCTCAAAAAGAGTCATCAACTCACGCATAATTTGAGAAGATGTTTCCCAAGCATAAGTGATTTTGAAAATAATCAGCTAAGAACACATAGCATGCTTACAATCTTCCTCTCAAAATTCTAAGAATACCAATTATAAAATTCACAAGCACAGAAAAATGGGAATAGAGGCTACATATTTGAAGGGCACTTTCTCATACATAGTCTTGTAAATGCACCAAATGGGTCGCCAAGAGGGAACTTAGGGAAATATCTAATTACACCACTGAATGAAAGGGGAAGATGCAATGAGAGAAAAAGCATTCCATATGAAGACAAGCTTGTGTTACGTTATTTCTGGGCACAATCTTGGAATATGGGTTTTTTTAATTGAAGCATAATTGACATAGAACATTACATTACTTTTAGGTGTACAAATAGGGTTTTAAACCAGGATGATCATCATGAATGTTAATTAATATCAGTGGAAGAAGCGGTGGACATATGAGGTGGGGGTTAAGGGAGGGGGTCAGAAGCGTGCAGTGGACATGAAACTTCCTGATTTAAGGATCACAGAGTCTGTAATGAAGAGAACATTCATTTGGGGGGATTCTCCTCTCAGTATCTCAACAAGTTAGATGCTATCACACATATAGCAGACTTCAAGCTTTTGCCTGAAAATAAGATTAGTTACATGTTTCATAGAAATTATTTTGATGCAGAGAAAATTTATTTTGGAGTGGAGGAAACTGAGATGTAAAAGATCCCAATATAGCTTAACATTCCCTTCCATTTGTTGTGTGTGTGAAACAAGGAAATGCATTTTACCAGTAGCAGGTGGCATTCCATGGCTCCCACTAATGTAGATTCTACAGTTAGTTATATACATGGTCCAGTTTCTAAAAAGCATGACAAAGTTGTCCTGGTCATACCTTCAAATCTGTCCTGACAAGTCTGAGGGTGCAGACAAGCCATTACTTCTCATAACGTGGCCACAGAATATAGTATTCCATTAAAAGTGTTTGTCATCAATTATGTTTAAAGAATGCAGTGGGGCTTCTCTGTTCCCCTGCCTGCCTCATCTCCAGAGGTCACGTCCTCCTTTCTACCACCGTCACCCACTCCTACAGTTGCATCTTAGGCCATTTCATCATCTGTAACTTTTCTACATCAGAGCCCAAACTCAGGCACACCAACCACCCTCCTCATTATAACCTTGGCTGTTCTAATGAGACTTTGGTCCTCTTGCCTTTCAACTCTCTCCCAACTCAGCAGTCTCCTTCCTCCCCGTCCCTCCATACTCCTGCTTAGCCTGCCCTGCAGGCAGTCTTTACTGCCGCAGGCTCCAGCTTATTTCCTAGACTCCCTTGCCAGTGCCTCATTGTTGCACTCATCTTCCTGCAATGAGAACAGGTTGGCATCACTGTACAGTCAACACCAACCTCCAATGAGCCCTCGCACTGCCTGCCATTCCGCATCCTGTGCTTCTCTCTGTCCCACTCTCTGAAACAATGATTTCAAACATTCTCCATCCTCCTCAGACCTCCAGCCCACTCCTTTCTCCTTCGCTCTCAACAGACAGCTCGGACTCCACACACGGGCTGGCATGCCTCTGAGCCTGCTCTGGACTTCTTCCTGCATGATACAACAGAGGACCTGGTCCTCCATCTAAATATAAAGCCAGTCCTGCCATCAGTGCTTTGGAGTCTATCTCCTCCTGACTTTTCAAGAGCCTTACAAAGATCATTTATCCCATTTCCCACTTGTATGTACAACTGTCTTTCTGAACTGGGTCCTCCCCAGTGGTTTTTTAGAATGCTCAGATCTCTCCCATTAATATATTCTTTGATATTACATCTCCCTCCAACTTTCTCTATCGCTTATTGTATTTATGCTTAACTCTGTTCATTTCTTTGTATCTCATTCACTCTGGCCAACCCCAGGCTGGTTTCCATCTCCACTCTATTACCTTATCATTTCCTGCATGGGATACTAATGATCTCTGTGTCACTAAAAAACATCTTGTCTTATTTTTTAAGCCTACAGCACACAGTATTCCCAGGCAGCCTCCCATCCAAGTACGAACCAGCCCCAACTCTGCTTAGCTTCCGGGATTAGACAAGATCAGACGTGTTCAGGGTGGTATGGCCATAGACTTCGTCTTTTTTTTCTTTTAATTCTGTATTCTGTGAGACATATTTTGAGTAATCCTGGATATTCGTTTTACTTTGGCCTATATACAAAATGTAGCATTATGTCCTGCCAACATCAGCTTTGCTTTAGTTTGTTTAATGTGCAGTGCTCCTTCCTACAACAGGGTCCTCGCATATGCTGTTCCTTTGGTCTGAAACTGTATCAACACAACTCTCCACCTGCCTCTGCAGCTCCTTCAGACCTCATTTCAACTATTATTCCCCCTATGCTCCTATCTATACCTCTCCTCTCACTGGGGAACAGAGGGACAGGGTAGTGTTGGTGATACAAGTATTATGGGTTTTTGCCTTGCTACTAGCAGTTCCAATTACTGGGAGAAGAAAGGACATAGGTTTACTAGGGAGTTTTGAATGTTTCGACATACCTAAGTGAAGGTGGCAAATGGGAGCTGGGTATATAGGTCTGGAACTCATCATGAGCTTACCTGAATAAAGTTACCACATCCTCTTTAGTTGCTACCACATCCTCTTCTGGAAGCATACTCAAAATTGCAGCTTTTAAGAACACATATGTTGCCTTGAGAAAAAGAAAAGCAGTAATTAAAGAGCACCCTAGTATATGATATTTCTACCTTGTAAATCAAGAATGACCCACAGGACTTCCCTGGTGGTCCAGTGGTTAAGAATTCACCTGCCAATGCAGGGGACATGGGTTCAATCCCTGGTCCGGGAAGATCCCACATGCCACGGGGCAACTAAGGCTGGGCACCACAACTACTGAACCCAACAGCCACAACTACTGAAGCTCCCACGCCCTCGAGCTCATGCTCTGCAACAAAAGAAGCCACTGCAACGAGAAGCCCATACAGCGCAACTAGATTAGCCCCCGCTCACCACAATCAGAGAAAGCCCACATGCAGCAGTGAAGACCCAGTGCAGCCAAGAATAAATAAATAAACAACAATTTTCAAAAAAGAATGAACTACAAATCTTCCAGATATAGTATCTGAGGTATCAAAGACAAAAAAGGGAAATGAAACCTCTTGCTACCTGTTCCAAATAAGATCAACACTTTCCACCAAATCTTAGCCATTCCCCTATTATACAACTTTAATGTTCGTAGATGAAGAAGTGGACAAAATGAAAAAGAGATCATTATCTCATTCCTCCCAATTTCTCACAAATGGATCAGAAGGTTTTTAGAACTTTTTAAAATTGAAGCTTAATTGATTTACAATACTATATGAGTTTCAAGTGTACAATATAGCAATTCAGTATTTTTATAGATTATACTCCTTTCAAAGTTGTTATAAAATATTGGCTATATTTCCTGTTTTTGCAACCTTGTTATCTTATTTATATCTATTACCATGTACCTCAATCTCCTTTGCCTATTTTGCCACACCTGTTAGAGTGGCTACCATCAGAAAGAACAAATAATAAATGTTGGCAAGGATGTAGAGAAAAGGGAACCTAGTATATTGTTGGTGGGAATGTAAATTGGTACAGCCATTATGGAAAACAGTATGAAGATTCTTCAGAAAATTAAAATAGAACTACCTATGATCCAGCAATTCCACAAAAAGATATATACATCTCAATGCTCATAGCAACATTATTTACAAAAGTTAAGATACAAAAGCAACCTAAGTATCCATCAACAGATGAATGAATAAAGAATTAATTTTTATTATTATGAAAAGTTTCGTTATCAGGACATCAAAAAGTCTACAAAAAATCATCAAAACTTGATATTTGATCATTTTTATATATAACTGAAATTCATCTTCAGAAATAAAGCCTCTTTGTTGAAAAGGGCTGCTTGGATGGCTTTTTAAAGCATATAGTGCTAAGGACAGTAGTTATAAACAGCAGGTACTTAATGCATACTTCCTCCTTTGATGGATCTCTACGTTGAGAAGTGTTGATATCATACTACTGAACAAACAATCCTAAATGAAAATCATTCTGTACACTTATTAGCAAACAGATGACACTATTGAAAGTACTATACTTTACCTTGGACCATTTACTCTCTTTGCAAAGCAGATCTGAATAGTAATATGCCTCTCTCCAGTTTTGTTGGAATACAAAAATCCACATCAGCTCCCAGTAACAGAGATGGTGAAACTGTTTCCATTCTTCTTGAACTGAAATGCATTTTCGAAATATCTCTTGTGCCTATAAGTCAATTGCATAAAGCTGATCATCCAGATATTAGACAAGGAGATAATAACCTAATGGAAAAATACATAAAACACTTTGTACAAAAAGAACAAAACCATGACTCATTAAACCACTCAGTATGACATGCTCCTTTCCTTACATGCCAACAATGCAGTTAAATTCTGTCTCCTTATTTAACTTTGTAGGAGGGCCATCGAACTTTATAATGTGGGAGTAGCAAAGTTCCTTCCTTAAGTAAGACATAAAATACAGAAGTCCTTTAAGAAAAGACTGACAATAAATTTAGAACTTCCAGAGAGTAACATATACCTTAAACCAAGTTTAAGGCAATGGACAGACTGGGAGAAGATATTGCTATATACATAACTGCAAAGAATTAACACTTATACAACAATTTTACTAAAAACGACAAATCAATGGGAAAATTGTTGAAGATATAAATAGGAAATCAGAGAAAAAGATATATGACTGACAAATATACATATGAAGGCTTTTTTATTGGAAAATATAAATTAAAAATTAGATTATCATTTTTCAGCCATCATACTGGAAAAATAAAAGATAAATAATGACCAGCATTGGCAAAAAGCATTGGAAACAAGTATTCTCGTATCTTTGGGCTTCCCAGGTGTAGCTCAATGGTAAAGAATCTGCCTGACAACCAGGAGATACAGGTTCAATCCCTGGGTCGGGAAGATTCCCCTGGAGAAGGAAATGGTAACCCATTCCAGTACTCTTGTCTCGGAAATGCCACAGACAAAGGAGCCTGAGGGGGCTATAGTCATATCTTTATAGGAGTTTAAATGGACTAGCTTAAAGTAAGGAGGGCAATCTGTCTGAATTTATTAAAATGCAAACATCTTTGACCTAGAAATCCTATCAGACTGTCTTATATAAATATACCTTTGCACTGAGATGTACACATAATAATGTTTACAACAGCATTGTGTATAATAGCCAAATGCCTATCAATAGTGGACCACTTTAATAAGTACAGTTTATCCATCTCACGGAATGAAACCCAGCCATCAAAAAGAATGAGGAAGATTTAGATATACTGACCTGGAAAGAAATCCAAGATGTATTGTAAGTGGAAAAAAAATCAAATCAAGGAAAAATAAATATGTTTGTCCCCATTGTGTAGAAGAAAATTGTTTGTGAGTATATTTATATGAAAGGCTCTTCACTCTTTTTCTTCAAGGGATTTAGTGAATAATTTCCTTTGATGGGGAGCACACACGTAGTACAATGAAGTTACCTTTATGGAAGGTCTAGATTCCAAAGTCAATAAGTAATACCAAGATGGATAGCAGTCAAAGTTTTCTGAAAGTCCCTTAAATTGCCCACCTATATTTCTATATCCAAACCTGAATTGCCTCAAATCCTTCATACATAAATGTGGAGTATATTCTACTATACATAGTACATACACATTATATTCTATAATCTACTACACACCCACAAAATTAAAGTTTGGCTTTTTAATTACATATTTTCCCTCTATTTTTGTCTAGCACATACAGCTGGATTTGCTCATGTGGAATGAGTTTGCTATGCAACCCCACTAAACAGACAGGCCCCCAAAATGACCCCCTCAAATAAGTTACCTCTTCCACATTGCCTTTCAGCAGCTCTATCCGGCCATGATAGAACAACACAAGGGAGCCCTGCAGAGGAAGGGATAAACAGACTGTTCAGTACTCCACCCTGGGAGAACGATTATGGCTGAAAACAGGCACCTGAAATTCTAAGCATACATTTGGAAACTGCTGGAGGTAGGGTTCAAGGAGACTCTCTGCTTCCACAACATTCACTTCTCCCGTACCTAGAAATTTAACAGGAAAAGCCTCAGTCTTCATGAAACACAGTCAACATTTATACCTATTTCTCCAAATTTCATTAAAATATATAGCAAAGACCTATTCATGGAAACCATGACAACTATTCACTTGAAGACAAGTCCATCTGTGACTTTAGCTTAAGAAAGCTTTAGGGCAAATTCGTAAGAGCAGACGTGGTTGCCTTCAATTCTTAATTGAAATTTCTGTCTTGAATACCAATACGAACTATTTTTAACAAAAAATTTAACTTTCTGCTAAAAGAGAAATGTAATATGCTAAAAATAGATCACCTTAAGCAAGTCTTATAGAATTTTTTTTAGCTGAGAACAGATTTAAAAAAAATTAATGAAAGAAACCCTCCACCCCTTCTGCTAAATGTCACTAGGACAAAGTCACTATTTTCCATCTTTCTGAAAAAAAGAGTAAATATAGACTCCTATCTCTTACTGATTTTCCTAAATTTTTACTTACTCAGATGAAAGATAATCAACTTTCAATGATGTAAAATGTAATCCAGTCCTTACCAAGTATCAGAGAGATGTACGTATGAAAAGCTAGTATAGTTAAGCAGCACAGTGGAGACCTCATGCTTCTTCCTAAGGCGCCTTCCCGTAACTGCAGGATGCCCAACTCCTGTGGGAATTAGATGCATTTTAGAATGAAAAGAGCATCATATTCAGAGACTTTAAAATGCTAGCTCATATATCCCCACCCTCCACGAAGGTGGAGTTTATTTTTCAAGGGCTTAGAACAGCAGTAATAACTAGAGAGCATCACCAACTTAATGGACATGAACTTGAGCAAACTCTGGGAGATGGTGGAGGACAGAGGAGCCTGGTGTGTTTCAGTCCATGGGGTGGCAAAGAGACTTAGCAACTGAACAACAATGAACAACAACTAGAAACAAATTTTGCATTTTAAATTGGCATAAGACAATCTCACATATTCTTATATCATGTGATCTTAGGGGAAAAAAAAGATAGGGTTAATTTTATAGAAAATGCTGTTATTTCTCATATAAATATCAATTTATTTAAGCATAAGGATCTAAGTATAAAATGCTATGGCGGGTATGAATATTTATGGCTCTATTTCTTCAAGGATCTTTCCATCAAACAGGTCAGACAGTATTTGAACACATTTATTGGACCATGGCGAGGGCCTTACGAAAGTTAGGTAAGTGATTCTGAAAGTTAGGAATGTTTGAGCCTTGTTGGAAGGGAATAAGGGAAAGCTGTGTGGAATAGGCGACACTGATCTCAAACCTAATGGATTAAGAAGCTCTTAAAGAGACTTGATTTGGGAGGGTGCCAGTTGGGAAGGATATCTAAAACAGACACCAGCAAAAGCACGGAAGCAGAAAAGCACAAGGTCTGTTTGGAAAACAACCAACTGCCCAGTTTAACAGAAACACTGGGGAAGCAAACACGACAGACAGTAAGACTAGAAACTTGGGCTAGAATCAGATGGTAGAGCCCCTGAATCCATGCTATACTTTGGACTTTATTCAAGGAGCAATTTGGAGCCACTAAGAAAATAAAGTAGAAGATGAATAGTCAAGGGGAAGGGTAACCATGAAACACAGTCTTATTTGATAACCATAAATACATGGTCAACTATGAAGACCATAAATAGACGATCAATATATCATAGTTTATGAAGAATCTGGACAGTGGGATAAAAGTAGATGGGGAATTTACAGTGTCTTGTACTTGTTCTCAAACAATTCTTGAAATCTGCTCTCTTGACTAAAAGGGCCAATTTCTGCAATAAGGGCAACTCTGGTAGTAGCATGTTGAATGTTATGATTGATAACTATTATATACTGCACAAACAACCACACACAAATATAACAAACAAAACTCATGGAATATACACCACCATATGTAAAATAGATAGCCACTGGGGATCTGCTATATGATTCAGGGAACTCAAACCAGGGCTCTGTGACAACCTTGCGGTGGGATGGGGTGGGAGGTTAGAGGCAGGTTTCAGAGGGAGGGGACATATGTATACCTATGGCTGATTCATAGTACGGTAGAAACCATTCAGTGTATGGTAGAAACCAACACAACATTGTAAAGAAATTATCCTCCAATTAAAAATAGATACATTTTTTAAAAAAAGAAACTGATGGAAAACAAACTTCCTTGTTTAGTTTTATAGCAAAACTTGTAAAAACACAAGAAAACCCAAAATACTGCAACCATGCTTGGCCTACACAAACCATAAAGTGGTAGACATGGAAATCTAGCCTAAGTTCTTGGTTTAGCGGGGGTTGCAAAAAGGTTAAGGAAGCATATTTTAACCTCATGTGAGTACTAAAGATCCAGCAAGCATCAACATTAGTCAAACATAAATTTTTAATCCCAGAATTTAGATAACATTAAGATAAAAAATTTTAACTTTCAATAGAAAAACCATCCCCTAACTCCCCCAAAATATGATTAAGACCCAAAGTCAGTTTACTGTTCTGCAAAGAAACTGCCAATAATTTTCATGCTAATCATGAGGACATGTTATACTTCCCTCATACTCAATAAACATTTTTTATCTTCTTTGTCAAAATTAAGAAAAAATTAATTCTGTACCCTATTTCCAGAAAATCCTATAAATTCTAGTAGTCTGATAATCCGTGCTGGTAAAAGGGACAGCATCTGTAAGAAAAAAAAAATACAAGTGTACTATGTGTTAGAATACCTAACTCTAGGGAAATGCTACACTCTAAAAACTTAAAATTTTAATGATTCAGTAACATGAAAAATTAGAACCAAGTTTAAACCACTAGACATGTCTCAATCACCATATACTGCACCTCCTATAATGATTACTCGTGACAATTTCATTTAGCTAACCTAAAAAATTAAAAACAGAACAAAGAATCTGGCCTTTCCAGGATGCTCTGAAGAATACTTCCTTTGATGTGGAGTGATAAAAGTGTTGAGAAGGTAACACCCAGTGCCCACCTCCAAACAAGATTTATTTTAGCAACCTTTTCTAGGAAGCAAAAGTTGATGTATTCTTCATGATACACAGGCAAAACCCAGAAGTGGACAGCTATAGCACTACAGCCACTCTCTGGGACATCTGAGTAGGACGAAGGGAAGTTCTCTCAGGGCAAAACTTCAAGCAGAGACCTGGTTGTTCACTTTGCTTGGAGAAGAAATGCCCATACATGCAATTATTGCTTGGAGAAGAAATGCTCATATATGCAATTATATACAGATTCATAAGCCAATGGTTTGATTAGATGGTCAGGGATTTAGAAAGAACATGATAGGAGGGAATTTCCTGGTGGTCCAGTGGTTAGAACTCCAAGCTTTCACTGCCAAGGGCGCAGGTTCAATCCCTGGTCAGGGAATTAAGATCCCACAAGCTGTGTTGTGCAGACAAAATAGAGAGAGAGAACAAAGAACATGATGGGAAAATGGATGCCAAGGAGCTCTGGCTCCTTGAGATAAGAATATCCATAAGAATATATGGATATATCTCTTTGAATGGGAAAAAAAAATGAAGATATTTGTGTCCCACGTGAATGTTCACCAAAGGCTGTCCTCAGCAGAGAAGATTTTAATAATCAAGTGAGTAGAGTGATCCATTCTGTGGACAGCCGACAGCTATTTCCTCAGCTACCTCTGTCATCAACCAATGGGCTCATAAACAAAGCGACCCTGGTTGTACATACCAATTCCAGTGAAACCTTAATAAAACATCAAAATTTCTAAATAATATTGCAATTGGATGGATATTTATTCAAACTCTTCATCTGCCCCAGAGCATTATTACTATCCTTCAAGCTCTGTTATTCCCTAACCTATTTTCAATTCTAGAACCACCATTGCTATAGCAACAGTATTTCTGATGTGGGAATGGACCCGAATTTCAAGCTCCTTCTTACAAAAAAAAAAAAAAGTTACTAGTTCATTCAGAGGGCTGTACGCTGCCCTTATTATACAAGCCAAAACTCTTCTGAGCATGTGCAGAACTTTATAGCATATTCTGACCAGAGCCTCCCCTGGGTCACAACAGAATAAAGTGGATCCCACTCTAGCCACTTGTCAGACAAACCCAGGCAGAGGTTCAGGGTGAGGTTTCAAATGCAATAGCAGAGGCACTGAAAACCGAAGGTTCTTTTATAAGATTCTGGTTACCTTCTGATTACTCACCAAATTAAAGGCCCCTATTCCAAGCTTGACACCCCCTTCAAACTCGTAGAAGAACTGCTGCTCAACTTTGTTCTTCTGAATTACATGCAGGATTGAAAGACATTCTCTGGATTAAAGAAAACAGTTATACCATAAGTTTACTATGACACTGAAAATTAAAGTTAAGTCAAATTTTGCATTTAAGTACCATAAGATAGATGTCATTAGGCAAAACACTGGAGAATTTTTAAGTGGATGATGCTACGCTGAGTTTACTCTTAATGCTACCAGGTAATCATCATTAAAGAAAAATGACATACTCATTTCTACATTGTTTATCAGGATCAATCTTTCTGCACTTAAAGCAAAAGAGAGTTTAAATACCAGTAGGCATGACTCAGGAGCCTCTTGGAACCTCAGGACTGTGAGCTCCCAGCTCCTCAGCAATGTGTTAGAGGAGATTTTCTAAGAATGCTCAGCCTCTCAGCTGCTGTGCGCCCTTCAGCAACCTACATTCCACTGAGAAACCGAGACGCTACTGACAGAAAGTTAAACTTCAGTGTGATTACTATGGCCTCAAATAGACCAAATAAAGAACCTGGAACTAGGAAAGACTGAAAGAGGAAAGTAAAGTTCATCACAACTGCCTGCAACTTTCTTCTTAATTTTCTCTCCTCACCCAAGCCAGTCTTTCTGATTTTTCACTTTTATTACTTTCTATTCATTTCTCCCTTTCCCTCTGTATCTTGAATGCAGAGAGTATTTCATCTGTATTCATCAGAGAAATGCAGATGAAAACAAAGATGTAAAAATTGGCAACAACCAAATTGTTTATCAAATTGACAGATACAATTTTTAAAGTAATAAAAAATAGCCAGATATTACATATCACCTGATGCGATGCAATTATAAAGGATCCAACTTCATTTATGATATATTCTAGCCAAAAGCATTTAAGTTGAATCTAGTAAGCCTATATATCTAACTTCCAGTTTTCAGGAAATATACGGAGCTAGAGAAATGCTATCAAATGAATTATATTTCCCCCAAATCCATATATTGAAGTTCTAACTGTGCCCCCCTCCCAAAGTGTGACTATATTTGGAAATAAGAGATTTTAGGAGGTAATTAAGATTAAATGAGGTCACTCTAAGTGGAATCTCTCTCTCTGCTCTGTGAGGAAAGAGTGAGAAGGTGGCTGTCTGCAAGCCAAGAAGAGAGCCCTCACCAGAATCTGATATGCTGGTGCCCAGATCTTGGACTTCCAACCTTCAGAACTGTGAAGAAATAAGTTTCTGTTGCTTAAGTCACTCCGTGTATGATATTCTATTATGGCAGCCAGAAGCAACTAAGAGAGAATAAGCTAAACTAAAACTCAAGGAAGCCACCAAACAAAGCTGTGTGTATACAACTACAGGACACCCGGACTGGGCTTTTCCACAACTGACATGAATATAGAAACTCTTATATAATAAGATATATTTAATGAACATAAACTGAATGCACAACACAGTCTTGGGTTGGACCAAGGTGCTGACATTCCAGAAGTAAGAGAGTTGGGACCAACTGGCAAAATTTGAAGATGGACTGAAAATTTGAAGATGGATTGAATATGAAATGAAGATTTGTTGACATGAAAAAAAAGATCATTAACTGCAAAAGCAAGTTATAAAACTGCACATAAGAGTGATCTCATTTTGGTTTTAAATATACATATCTTTAGATTCATGTAGAAAATATTCTGAAAAAGTATATATTAAGGTGTTAACAATCATAATTACTAGATGTTAAGTACATGGGGTATATGTGGGCGTATTTTAATATTTGCTCATCCGCATTTTCCTATTTTCTAAAATATATACCTTTTGTGATAAAAAGCATTATTTTAATTTTTTAAATGGAAAACCAGGGCTGGCAAAGGTAAGAACAAATAAATTCATTCATTTATTTATGATAAAATGGTATTTACAGTAAAGAGGTTGGCAAACATTGGAACATAGCCACATCTATTTTTTAATAATGTGATTTTTTTTTTTTATTCAATTTTTTTTTTGGTGACATGACATGCAGGATCCTAGTTCCCTGACCAGGGATCAAACCTGTGCCCCTTGTAGTAGAAGAACAGAGTCTTAATCACTGGACCACCAGGGAAGTCCTCACACCCATTTACTTAGAATCTACGGCTGCTTACACCCTGCAGTCAGCTACAGAGTTGAGTCGTTGGGACAGAGATGTTATGGCCCACAAGCCTAAACATTTACTGTCTGGTGTTTTAAGAAAAAGTCTGCCAACCCAATTATTCTTCAGAGTAATTTTGCAATATATATCAGAAATCTTATACACAATGGTATCTTTGAATCAATAAATCTAATTTTATTCCAAGAAAATAGCATCGATACACAAAACTTGACCTATAAGGTAAGATATTGTATTACCACCTACAATGAAAACTTCTAAACAAATTAAAGCAGGCAACAACAGGAAATTAGTTAAGAAGACAGTTGAATGCATGCATACATTTATATACATACACATGTGGCACATCCACACAATGGAACACTATTGAGCCATGAAAAGCCATGATGAATTAAAAATATTTAATAACCTAAAATTTTCTGACATTAAGTGAAAAAGGAAATTTCAAAATGACAAAAGGCATACAGTTTCATTATATAAAAAGATAATTATATATGCTTAATGGCAGGATACAAATATGATACTCAGAGTTCTTTTATATGTAAATGATATATTTGCTGAAAATATATGACTATTACAAAAATGTTCAAATAATATGGAGACAGCCTAAGTATCCCTACATAACAATCCCACAGAGAGGTGGTCACTGTTAACAACCTAGTACATAATTTTCTAGTTGTTTTTATGCTTTACTAAGAATGGAATCTTTAAAACACACAAATGGGGACTTCCCTGGTGGTCCAGTGGTTACAACTCTGTACTTCCACTGCAGGGGACATGCCTGATCAAAGAACTAAGATCCCATGTGCCAGAGTCAAAAAAAATTTAAAAAAAAAAACAACAATAAAAAATTACATGATTTTAACTTTAATTACATGATTCTTTTTATTTTTTCATTTATTTTTATTAGTTGGAGGCTAATTACTTTACAATATTGTAGTGGTTTTAATTACATGATTTTAAGTCTCATCAACTCATGCAAGCCAAAGCTTGCTGTAAGATAAAGTTTTATATGCATTTTTTATCCTTAATGACTAAAACTTCTGTTTTAACTTATAATTTAATTTTTTAAAGAATATACTGATCAGCTTCAGTCAGTAAAATATATTTTTAATTAAAAAATCACAAATGGGATCACATACTACATACTATTTTATGGGTTATAATGACAATTTTCCATGAAAATGCATGAAAGTTATCTTATTCTATAACAAAATGTATTATTCCATTCCATGGAATGATTTAATTAACCAAATTCCTCTTCTTAAATTTTCAAGTTATTTCAAAATTTTCCATATTATAAACAAAGCTGCTAAGAGTGTTCTTACACATTCATCAAATACTTTTCCTATATCAAGTACTAAAACTATAGTAATAGCCTCCTAACTGTTCTTAGGATAACTTCTTAGAAAAAAGAACTCCTGAGATCAAAAATGATACATATTCTTGATTTTGATATATACTGCCAGAACATCGTCCATAAAAACTCTGTCAGTTTAGACTCCCACCAACCTATGAGTTTCTCATACTGTCATTTGCCTGAGTCATTCATATCATATTTCCATTTATAATTTTTATTATGGGATATTTTTGCCATGATGAAAATTTAAATGTTTATTTGGTCAAGTCAGTCTTTTACAGTTTCTGATTTTATGTCACACTTTAAAAGACTTCTGAAATTGATGTCATGTTTTTCCAGTAGTCATGTATGGATGTGAGAGCTGGACCGTAAAGAAGGCTGAACGCCAAAGAATTGATGCTTTTGAACTGTGGTGCTGGAAAAGACTCTTGAGAGTCCCTTGGACAGCAAGGAGATCAAACCAGTCAATCCTAAAGGAAATCAACCCTGAATATTCACTGGAAAGACTGATGCTGAAGCTCCAAGACTTTGGCCACCTGATACAAACAACTGACCCACTAGAAAAGACCCTGATGCTGGGAAAGATTGAAGGCAGGGGGAGAAAAGGGCAAAAGAGGATGAGATGGTTGGATGGCATCACCAACTCAAAGCACATGAGTTTGAGCAAACTCCGGGAGATAGTAAAACCGGATAGACAGGGAAACCTGGGGTGCTGAAGTCCATGGGGTTGCAAAGAGTCGGACACAACTAAGCAACTGAACAAAAACATCTACTGCTATGAAGCAATGAGAAAGACACAACACTGCATCTACAGTATTGGTTGCCATAGATGTGATCTGAACTTAATCATGAAGCAACATTAGATAAGTCCACCTTGAGAGACGGTCTTAAAAATAATGGCCAAGTATTCTTTAAAAATGACAAGGTCGTGAAGGCCAAGATTGAGGGGCTCTTTCAGATTAAAACAGACTAAGGAGAGTAACAACTGATTGCAACATCCAGGATCCTGGAGTGGATCCCGAACTAGAATAAGAACACTGGTGGGACAGTTAGAAAAACTTGAGTCAAGTCAATAAAGTAGTTAATAATATTGCACCAATGTTAGTTTCCTGATTTTAATAATTATACTGTGGTTCTATAAGATGCTAATAATATTTGTACATTAGAAGACTAAAAATTCAGAAACTATTTCCAAGTAAAAATTTTTTAAAAAAAAGTTTAAAGGCCTTTGTGCTTTAGGACTATAAAAAGACTTTCCCATGTTTTTGCCTGTATCCTTTTAAAAATATTTTAATATTAAATCTATATAATGTATCCTTTATATAGTCTTTTCTTCAAAGTGAAGAGTCAATTTTCCCAAAACCATTTATTAAACCAATAAATCAAACCCATCTTTCCCCACTGTTTTTAAAGAGACTTACATAGATATAGGTTTTTTAGTAAGCTTTGAATTCCCAGATAAATATGTGTATGTTACACAGAAGTGCATGAATACACACAGAGTTTCAAAGTCTTATGCTCGATTCCACTGATACATAATTTCTGAGCCATTACAAGACTATTTTAATCCTTTCGACTTGAAGTTTTGATGACTGAAAAAGCAAGCAACTCTTTAACATTCTTTTGTATCTTCTAAAATATATTTCAAAAGGAAAACTAAAAGCAATATATCAGGTTCCCAAAGGTCACCTGCTTCCTCCAGGATTTCAAATGGGATATAATTTTATGAAATCATTTCAGGTAAGAGCATCTCTTAAAACACTAAATCTTGGTTCTACTTCTAGTAATGGCAGAGTGCCTTAAATTAAATTAACCGTCCCACAGATAACAATTATAAATTCTTAACAAAATGCAAAACACATGTTTAAAATATATTTGCAGACACTTAAAAATAAAGTAGTGGGAAGCTAGAGAAGAGTTAAACTTTGAAATGAGGGAACAACTCTTAAAGAGACTATATGTTTATATGACTAGTCACTTGAAAGTACTCCCCAGTACACTCAGCATGGGGTGCCTAGAACTTACACAGAAAGCTATAGTCTTATTGGCTTAAAAAAAGTGTACAGAGTTTAAATCTGCCAGAAGGCTGTGAGGTAATAGGGAAATTTTCAGATAGGAATGAACCACACAGGATGGAAATGCCAGTATCAGTGTTAAAACTCCACTCAAATTCTTGGCTGACTCATGAACTATGTGAGAACTGGTGAAACTCCAAAGAAAAGCAGAAACAAGAGAAAAGAAAAAACGGAATCATGATCTCAGATGTGGCCCACTAGCAGGGATTAAGAGTATGGACTCTAAGTCTAGTCAAATTAAATGCTTCCCAGAACAAAAATCAGCCTTCTTCTGAGAAAGATAACAGAACCTAAAGTCTTTACAATGAGTCACTATCTAGTATACAATCAAAAAATTACTGAATTGAAAACAGAAAAACATAACATATAGTCAAGAGAAAAAGCAGGCAGTAGATATTGACCCTAAGACAACCCAAATGTTGAGATAATATCTAATCTGAAAAAAAAAAAAATTTCAGTGACTTATTGAACAAAATCAGGCTGACATGTAACTGGAGTCTCAGAAGAAGAGTGAGAATGTAGCAGAAAAAAAATATTTGAAGAAATAACAGCTACATGATTCCCAAAGCCACACTTAAGCACATCAGTCAAAGATATGAGTCTTCAAAGCATCCAGGGGGAACAATAGCAAAAAATAACAGCTGACTTATGATCACAAACAACAGAGGCCATGATATTGGGTTGGCCAAAAAGTTAACTCAGGTTTCTCCATAAGAAACCCATACAGAAAAAAACAAATGACCTTTTTGGCCAACCCAATATGACAACTGATAGCTTTTAAGAAGTGAAAGAAGAAAAGAAAAAAGGAAAATCTTGTAACTCAAAAATACTATACTGAGCAAAAACAGCCTTCAAAAATGAAGGCAAAAAATAAAGACATTTTCAGATAAATAAAATAAGAGTTATTGAAAGTGGATATGAACTATAAGAAATTCTAAAAGAAACGCTTCACTCTGAAATTAGAAAGGAATGAATGAAGAACATCAAAAATGGTAAATATTGGTTTAACAGTGGGGACTATGACATAAAACCGTTTAAAGCAAAGGTTGGACACCACACTGTGGGGTTTATAATACACATAAATGTACTACCGTAAAAATAATATAAAAGACAAACGGTGGTAAGTAAAACTATACTTTTGTAAGTTTCTTCTATTGTATGTGCAACAGTACAATATTAACTCTAACTTGACTATGATAAGTTAAGAAGGCTATTATAATCATTACAGCAAACATTTCAGAAAAATTAAAAGGGCTATAGCTAAGAAAATAATAGAGGGATTCTACTGGAATATATATATATATATATATATATATATATATTTAATTAAAGCAAAAGAAGGCAGAAAAATAGGGAGAGGGGACAAATAAGGCAAAGAAAAAAAGCAAAATGGCAGTCACAAGTGCAAACATATTAACTGTTATACTGAATAAAAAAGTAAAACCCAATTAAACATATTTACCAAAAAAAATGTAATTTAAATATAAACAAAGATAGATTTAAAGCAAAAGAATATATGCCATGCAAACACTAATTACAAAAAAGCATGAGTAGCTTTATTAATATCAGACAAAACAGATTTTAAGACAAGGAATATTATAAGGAGTTACATAGGAACATTTTATAATGATTAAAAAAAGGTTACTTTATTAGGAGATAAAACAATTTAAAAATATATAAGCCCAATAACAAAGGTTCTAAATACAAGCAAAGAGTGACAGAACTAAAGAGAGAAATGGATGACTCCAGAATCAAAGCTGAAGATTTTTAACACTGTGAGTAAAAGATAGGACAACTAGATAAACACCAGTAAGGACACTGAAGATACATGAATGACACTATGGTCCACTCTAACACTGGGACAGTGTTGTTTCAGAGTCTGAACCAAAGACATACCTATATATACCTGCCATTTTTAATTTACAAATTGTTTCTAGGAGAGAGAAACTAAGATTATCTAATCAGAAATTATGTAAGTACTTTTCAGCTATTTTTCTCTTAAAACTGCATTTATTCTGTTATCCTTTAGCATTGAATACACACTCAGTAAGTCAAAATTCAAGTGCATTTTTACCAACACTAAATTTTAAAAATCTAGTCACACTTATTAAAAAACTTTAAAGTACAAAGTGGTATATAATACAAGAATTATTTTAAAACCACAAGAAGGTGGTCATAAAGGTACAAACCTTGTCATAATATTTTTCATCAATCTTAATTTTTAACTTACTTATATATTTGGTAACTTGTTCTAATTTTGAGTCCACCTTTGATGAAGTTGATCATATTTTCATCCTGAAAACAATTCAATTACATAATTAGATCATTTAGCAAATGATTCTTAGACTGTCCCCACAGCTGTGTAGCTGCATGATTAGAACAAAATATTATCTTTTGAGGACATGATTTTTAAATTAAAATATTCTTCTTGCTTTACATATGAGATGCCTTTTTTGTCATCTTTCTTCCAACTTAGAGGACAAAAAAAGGAAACAATTTTCAAATCCTTGCGTAACTTTAAGGATGTAACTAAGAAAGTAATCCTCACCAATTAGGGGCCATAGAGTGAGTCCAACCTATTTCGATAAACATCAAATACTGAGCAATTTTCTTTTAGGTTCAATGGAGTTCAAAATGGCTGTTCCAAGGACCTTCCGGTCTGTCATACTCCAAGTAATGGGATTATGGTTCTTCATTAGGGGGTACTTTAGCAGGCTGTCTATTTAGAATTGTGAATTTCATTTGTATACATTTCCAGACCAAAAATAACTGATATTGATTCTAAATTTGTTATCACTAGCATGAAATTTTGTTTGGGAATTTTGTTTGTTCTCTTTGCCTGATGGTCATCAACCATGCAACTGAGGCAATTGGCCGAAATGAATGACCTTTTTAGGGTGAGCATTCTAGGATTCTAAGAGTCTCTTAATATAATATATAAAATAACTGCTTTAAAGACGCTACTTTAATAGATGGTGCCAATGGAGAATGCTTTTCTAACACATTAAGAACAGAAACATGCTCTGGTATTTAGCTCCTGTGCACTTGAGCATCCTTCCGAAGCCACAGAAAAACTGATTTTAGTTTGTTAGTTTCATCACTTACTTAAATACTTAATACTTAGATTATTAAAAGAATCAATAAATGTAAAATTTACTATGCAATTTAAATGCTCATTTTCTGATTTTAAGGTAGCTTACAGTCACACAAGTTCCTATAGTAGCCAGGAAAGAATTTCTTAAGTTGGAATAAAATCTGCTTCAAATAAGAATATTGAATGATTCACCAAACATTCGCGGAATGCCTATTTTACAGCAGGCACCAAACTGCAAAATAAGACAGAAGCAAACACAATGCACTAAGGGATGAAGACATGCACAGACGGATGGAAACAGGCACGGGTTGCCATGACAGCACAGAGGTGGGCTGGGATGTGAAGAGGTCCAAAAAGCTTCCGGGAAGCATCAGTGCTTGAAGCATTAAAAAAAAAAACAAGACTAGGAAATAACCAGATGAAGGAAGAGAAGGCAGATGTGAACTTTGCAAGCAAAAATAAAAACCTTTCAGGGGAAAGGCAAGGAAGCATTAAAGATCATGGTGCGCTTGGCTAGGCTTCTATAACACAGCACTGCTACAGAAATCTATTTCAAAGAAGGGAATGACTAAGGAGTAAGAAAGCTACTTGTACAGGCTCCACCCAAGTGCGCCACCAGCAGGCGAGGATGTCGGTAAGAGGGGAGTCGGGAACTGGGAGAGACGCCAGTTGAGTTTTAAAAAGCCTTCCCCATTTGTGATTTTCTGACACAGAACCACTGCCATCGTCAGTGAAATGCTGAAATGCTACGAAATGCTGAGAATGAGATATGAGCAGGCGAGATGCTGACCTTGGAGAGGCTGCACAACTGCACACGGAGAGTGAGCTGGCGGGAAGAGAAACTACAGACCAAGGGTCCCCAGGCTGCCGTGAAGTCTAGGGAGGAGCTGACGAGCCCCTCACTAGATCAATTATGGTCAGAATAAAGAAGAGATGGGGCTGATAAACCTTCAAAAGGTAAAACAGCACAATCGTGAGCCTGACTGGACATGGAGGCATGAGGAAGAGGGAAAAGCCATGGGTATCTCCCAGATATTGAGTTACAAGCCCCTAGACATTTTTTCAAAAACCCTTTGAATCAAAGATTTTACTGTCAAATTCCCATTTGAAAAACACATTTAAAAAAAAAAAAACACAAAAAACTGGGGGCCTCTGTGACTAGCCTTTTGTATACTAAGGCAGTGAGACTGCTTCAGGCATCATAATATGTAGAGTTTTAGGAAACAGGGTCATAGACCAGATTGATTCAATTTTCCTTAACCAGACTCCAACCTATCAGGTCAGTCAACCTCTAGAAAAAGAGAAAAGCACTCTCAGTTCGATATAAAGCATTGAAATCAAGGAAGACTTTTTCCATCTTTGAGTTGAATTTTTGCCCCCTTACCATCTCCACCCCACTTCTACCCCACTGTAACCATCACTGCCACCTGTGTGGCCACCTGGTACTAACAAATCCTAAAGGTGAAATTTAAATTTAAATGCCCCTGAGAAAAGAGTCATTGTTTTGTTTGGTGACTTCTTTCAACTGCTCTTCCAAAAGAAGAAATAAAAGGGGATGAGAATACAAATAGCAGGGCAATAAAATCTGAGGTCTGCATGCATAACTGAGCTTTGCCGAAGCATCTGGCGCAAGAAGGGAACAGCCAAAGCTGCTGAAGCCAGTCACCCCTGTGTGCAGCCCTCCACCATTAGCAAGCGCACAGAGGCATAACTTCACAATTCTCACACAGAGAAGCATCCTGAAATTAGGTGTGATAGGTGCAAAACAACTTCTTTAAAAGACAGTGGTTCCCAACAGACTGAAGTTCAAAACAGCGTCTTTTAGGTGCATTTGACTAGGAAAAAAAGATCCCCCAGAGTCTTCTTTCAGCCAAAGTTTACGAGCAATAACAAATATCTTTCATTATAACTCTAAGTCGAAAGAACTGAAGTACTGACACAGAATGAGCCGCATTTTTTTCTTTGTCGTACTTAGCAGGCTTCCCAGGTGACACTGATGCTAAGCCAAATGTTCGTTACCTGCACAAACGTGAGGGCTGCTTTCTGTAGGAGGCACTCGGCATAACAGATTTCAGCATGCATTTCCTCTATTAAAAACAAATAAAAGTATATTAAGGAAAATCCCACACCCACAGTAATTGCTCTGAGATATTCAGAAAAGACAGATAGATAAATGAGCCCAGAGAAGACATAAAAACCTAGGTTGCTTCGTGATTGCATAGAAGTGGAATGATGATCTCAGTTCTCAGGGCCTCAGCAAGATTTTTCCAGAATGTGTGAAATGCTTCGGGAAAGTCATCTTTGGCTCGATTCACATATAATCACCAAGAGTCAGGCCCTTGGTGTCAGAGACCCAAACTGGGCTCACAGGAGGAAACCAAAATGGAAAAGCACTTTTGGGGAGAAAAGAAAACCACTCGTGTTTTTAACTTAATGGTAAACTTCAAGTCTACCACAGGGATGGATTGAAAAACTAACTTGAATATACTAATTCTAACATCAAAAATATTATGAAGGCATGATGGTCATGACAATGGTTAGGCACACTATCAACCTGAAGAGAAAGCAGTAATTCCTGAGGATTCTAGGAAAAAGAACTGGCCTGCATGTCCAACTCATGAGGCCTCATTCAGGGAAGACTTGATATAAAAAAGTTAGCACTAGCAGAGTTTGGGGCTACTTGCTTTGTGCGTGTGTGCATGTGGGTATGTGTGTCTGCTTTCAGCTGCGCTACATGTAGGGTCTTAGTTTGCCGACCAAGGATCGTACGCACACCCGAGGCATTGGAAGCATGGAGTCTTAACCACTGGGCCACCACACAAGTCTCAGCTTGAGGATATTTGGATCATTGAGGTATCCAGCGCAGGAACAAGGTACTCGCAAGAGGGCTACGTAAAACTTTGTCTGTATCCCCTGGACACAGAGTGCCCCCAAACACGTGGCCTATCTTCCTAAACAGTTCATGATACCTGGAGAGACTGGGGAGGGAGGAATCTTTGCTTTTTTTTTTTTTCGTATAAACAAAATCAGCAATTTACTGTTTTATTCATAGGATACAAACTAGTGTGTTATTTAAGTAAATGAGCTTTGTGTTGGGGTAATTAACGGCCTGGATTGTAGGAAAGGCCCTGCCACATACTAGTTACAGAACCTTGAGCAAGCTACCCTCCCTCCCTCTGCGGGTCTCCTTGCTCTTCAAGTCCAGCTAATGACATCTCTATTTCAAAGCTGAAGAATTCAAGTGATGCCTGTAGAGTCACTATTCAGAGTAAGCCCTCAACATGCATCAGCTCCTTCCACTAAGATTATTCCCCTTGGCCCATGTCATGCTTTCTGACAAAACTTCAAAATGTAGCACATTTGTAAGTGATGTAAGTAACTGAAAAACGGGATATTTCCGTGTTGATGGAATGATGTTGAATCTAACTGGATAAGACCTAGTGCTTTATTTCTTTCACTTACACACACACACACACACACACACACACACACACACACACACACACGCTTTGTTCTCACAAACTGGTTCACCTTCCTGCCATGCTCATGTTCCAAAGGCTGATTGACAAAGAAGCAACAATGCAATGAAGATCTTCCAACAGCATGTGTAAGATGGGGCCAAACCCATGACAGGCCAAATTCGAGGAGCTGAGGTCAGCAGCACATACTCTGGAAGCATGAACAGCCAGGGTCTCCATCCTTCAGAAAGCCTCACTTTAAAGGGTGCCCCCTTGGATTTTCTCAGTGGGTTCAGTGGGAGAAAAACAGGTAACTTTTACAGAGTGATTTGAACAGCCTCTTCCCAGGGAAACTTGTCACAAAGCAGGAACTTTCAGTAATTACTCCCTTTGGAAGCCGGCTCGGTAACCCAGATGGCTGGCTTGGGGCATGTGTTGAGGAGGTGGTGAAATTGCTGCCGGAGGAGAACCAGCGCGAGCAGAGAGGCGGAGCAGAGAGGCGGAGCACAGAGCCCTGCGTGGCAAGACCAATGGTGCGCCTCTGGCTGGAGCGCAGCGAGGTGTGGGCTATGACCCTGGGAAGGCAGGCGGGGCTGAATGATGGATGACCTTGAATATCCCAGTCTGGGCTTCATTCAGCAGGCAGTGGTATTGCAGCAAAAATCGAAATGAGACCTTTCTTAAATAAAAATGAGACTTTTCTGATAAACAAGGGAACAGTGAACAGGATAGGGAAACAACATAAACAGGCCTGAATGAGTTAAGCAATTTTGGTTACTGTCTAGCTGTTACTACTAACAAACACTTGTGGCTAGACTGGTCCTTTTACAAAGCTAAATAAAGCTAATTACTCTCGGACTCCATATGTATTATGAATTATACTCTGCACCTGGCATTCTTCCCCCTACACACCCTTGCAGCATTCTTCCTTTCAGAAAGGAGGTCACAGGCTTATAACTTCTGAAAAGACCAACCCGAGTTACTGAGTTACCTGATGCCAGCTGTGGCCGTTTTGAAATTTTGCAAAAGAAAAAAAAAAAAAAAAAAGGCAAGACTTTCCTTAGGATATAAAACCTCTCCTTATTTCTGAGGAAATGGGGCACGGTTCTTAAGGCACTAGCCTACTGTGTTTCCCCTTTGACTGGCAAAGAATGAAGCTACTCTTTCTGTTTTTTTCCTCCAAACTCTGTCTATGTATTTCTATTTGGCATTGGTGGACAGGGAGCCAAGATTTTGGCATCAATGGTGAGACCCTGCAGAGATCTGAGCAGATGGGTAGATGGATCAGAGTTAAGCTAAAGATGGACAAATCAAAGAGGAGCATAAAGGACATAACACGAAGGCAGAGATAAAAGGCAAGAAAGTTTGAACTGTATACTCTATGTATAATGAATCTTTGATTTAAATCCCTTTTACATCCTAAGAACTGCACACAAACATGTGTTTTTAAAGACAATTTGAAAGCCATTTAATATGCCAGCCATGAGAAGAATGGGTGTGCCCCATCTTCAATCCACAAAAAGTTTAATTAAATATCCTTACTCCTACAAACAACCAGCCACTCAAGGATAGAAATGGAAATTACCTATAGGAAAAACAAATTGCACACTAAATCTACAATGTTTTGACATGCTCCCTTGAACACAAAGTCTGTTTGGATTGCAGCGACAGCCAAATTCATTAGGAATAAATGCAACTTAATTTATAAAAGTCTTATCTCTTCACTCGGATTGATTTATATTGGGCAGCCCTTAGCTCTCAAAATTAGACATTTGGCATTTACAAGTAGGTACCTACCAGAACATCTCTTAATTATAAATTCCTTAGTTCACTGAAGGAAATATCTTCATTATGCAGTGAAGCGTTAGCTAAGCACGCTTTCAGACACAGAAGTCTAAATAAACCTTATTTCAGAATAGTTAAAGTCACAGGCTGATGTATTTTCATAATTTTTAAATTAGGATCTTATTTTTTTGAGTTTTAGGTTCACAGGAAAACTGAGGGGATGGGAGAGAGATTTCCCATATATCCCTTGCTCTCTGGCTCACCCCAACATGCACAACCTCACCTATGATCAACATGCTCTCCCAAGTGGCACGTTTGTTACAACTGGTGAACCTCCACTAACATGTCATAATTACTGCCATAGTTCTTAATAGGGTTCACCCTAGGTGTTGTACATTCTATGGGTTTGGACAAATGTATAATGACATGTATTTAATCATTATGATTTCACTGCCCTAAAAAACTCTCTGTATTCCACCTGATCATCCCTCCACCCCATCCCCTGGCAACAACTGATCTTTTTACTGTCTCCACAGTTTAGCCTTTCCCAGAATCTTACTTACTTAGAATCATACAGTAGGTAGCCTTATTCAGATGGGTGTCTTTCTCTTAAGAATATGCATTTAAGGTTCCCCCAAATCTTTTCATGGCTTGACAGCTCATTTCTTTGTAGCACTGAATAATATTTTACTGTCTGGATGTACCATACTTCATCCATTCACCTACTGAAGGACAAGTTTTGGCAATTCTGAATAAAGCTGCCATAAATATTTCTTTGCAGATTTTTGTGCTAACACAAGTTTTCAGCTGTTAGTTTTATAAGAAACTGTCATGCTGTCTTCCAAAGTGGCTGCACTATTCTGCACTCTGAGTAGCCACGACTGCGTGTTCCTGTCCCTCCACATCCTCAGCAACATTTGCTGGTCTCTGTGTTCTGGATTTTGGACACTGTGTTGCTGTTGTTTTCGGTCACTCAGTCATGTCTGACACTTTAAGACCTCATAGACCAGCATGCCAGGTCTCCCTGTCCCTCACCATCTTCTGGACACTGTGTAGTGGTATCTTATTACTGTTTACTTTCTAACACTTCTAAATATGCCACGCCTAAAGACAGAAAAAGAGATGAGAACACAGTATCACCTATTTTTAAGATGTCTAACACAGAAAATAATTCAACATTTCCTTCATCCACATGTGAAAACATTTCATGCCTGTTTCTACCCACCTGCAGAGGTTGCGGGGAACAGAGGAAACAACTGCGGCTTGGGGAACGACAGATCAGGTCTGAACACCGCTCTGCTAGGCGGGTAACCTTGGACCATTTGTCTAATCTCCTTGATCCTGTTTCTAGTCTATAAAAAGGAGGTTAGGCAGGCTGGGCTTCCCCGGTGGCTCAGCAGAAAAGAATCTGCCTGCCAATGCGGGAGACGCAGGAGACACGGGTTCGATCCCTGGGTCAGGAAGATGACCTGGAGGACGAAATGGCAACTAACTCCAGTATTCCTGCCTGGTGAATCCCATGGACAGAGAAGCCTGGCAGACTACAGTCCATGGGGTCACAAAGAGTTGGAGATGACTGAGCGCGTGCGTGCGCGTGCACACACACACACACACACACACACACACACACAATAAGCCCAAGTTTTCCAAAGTCCACAGCAAGTTGATAATATTCTTCTAACAAAGCAAAGAAAACTTTACAATGAAACACACTAAAAAATGTGCCTAGCACAGACTCGACCACTAGGAATGATGAACAGCATTTTCCAGAATTGCTCTTGCCTTAACTGGCCACAGCTGCTCTGACAATTTCATGTTTCCTCCTCCAGAGAACACTCTTAACAGTGATAGCGCAGGCACAAGCGCTCCTCAGATGGCAGAGGCTTTGTTAGACTGGCCACATTTGAAGGATATTTTCTCTCCTACAGGAGTATTGCGACGCTCCTTTCTTATAAACCATTCTGACTAGAGCATAATGCTAATATAACAGGACTCATCATGGAACCTCTGCCCTAATCTCTGTGGGAACATCAAGGAAACAGCAAAAGGAGTCAATTTCTCCCAGCCATCTGATCAACATGCTGAAGATATATTGGATTCTAATAGTCCTAAATGTCCACATTTAGGACATTCCTGAATTCTAGTAGTCCTAAATGTATACAAACCAAACATTTTCTATACTGTAAAACATCATCGTTATTTTAAAGGTATCAAAATTACTGACCTTGAGAAAAAAATTAATAGCTTATAGAAAAATAGAAACTCTCACCATGGATGATAAGAATATAAACTGACCTAATTCTTTGGAGAAAAATTGGTGATATCTATAAATGTTTTCTATTTTCAAACCCTCAGTCCCAGTAACTCCACTTTTAGCAATCTAACCTATGAAATACTGGCAAAAATGCAAGAAGTTATATGTACAAGAATTTTAGGCCAGCATTATTTTTAATAGCAAAAAAACAATATAACTGTCCTTCAATACAGAAAAACTAATTTATGGTATTTGTCCTAATGAAAGCTACATGGCTATTAAGTAGAATGAAGTACATTTTATATGGGTTGACCTGGAAAAAGTCAATGCCAAAAATCACATTGTAGCACATGTATCACATACTTCTGTACTTGAAAAAATGAATAATAATAAATTACTATAAAAATCTTATGTATATGTTCTGTATATATTTGTATATGTACAGAGAAGAGTGTGCAAGTCATGAAAACCAACTGTTAACAGTGGTTATTTCTGGAGAGTGAGTGATGATGGGGAAGAGAAAAAGACATTCCATTTACTTATATTATTCACTTAAATGTTGATTTTATGAGCATGACCATGTTTAATTTTTCAAAGAAAGGAAAATACCCAATCTTTTAAATGTCCCTTACCTTCAGTCAGCTGTTCCAAGGATCCTCTTGAAAGAAGGCTTGAGAAAGACTCTACAACTGTGCATTTCTTCCTGTATCTGCACAGAAGAAGTAGAAGAGATGAGAAGTAGAAAGAAAAAAGTAATAAATCAAGCTCATTTTCATTTCACATCCATTTCAGTTGTAATCTCACCAAAAGGTCACCAGAAACAGAACTCTAAACCCTAAAATCTGCAGGGCAGAGACCACCGTTTTGAAACCTGCACACCCAGTTCCCAGCACTGGCAACCTGTGGGCATTTAATACAAGCTCACTGAACATGTTTATGTGTGTGGACAAACCTACATACTGGGAGCTTTCCTGGTAGCTCAGTCGGTAAAGAAACTGCTTGCAGTGCAGGAGACCCAGGTTCAATCCCTGGGTCAGGATGATCCCTTGGAGAAGGAAATGGCAACCCACTCCAGTATTCTTGCCTGGAGAACCCCATGGACAGAGAAGCCTAGCCAGGGTACAGTCCATGGGGTCGCAAGAGTCGGACACGACTTAGTGATTAAACCAAACCAACCAATACTAACTCTGTCATGCCCTTTCCCTGATCTCTATGGCTAAAATCAGGGTTTTTGTGGTTAAGGGTCACTTCACCACTGGTTAAGAATGGGGTTAGAGTGCAGTGTTTGGAAACTCTCTTCATTTGAGGGGCTAGAAACATAATTACAAGAGGGTATAATTTCACTGTTAAAATTCACCAATGCTAATTAACAGCTTCTGCTAGAGGCTTCATATACACACAAAACTGAAACTCCATGTCATTTTCACCAAGCAAAACTGTTCAAATATGTCCATTTAGGCAAATAAAAGACCCGCTTCTGCATTTACAGCATTTCCCACATAAAAATGCTCCTTGGTGGGCCTGGAGTACCAGGCCAACAGGTAGTACCTAATCTCTCCACCAGGGGGACCCCAAGAGATGCTTGCTGCTAACCCCACTGAAATCCTCAGCACTTTTCCGTAGCTCAAACACCAAAAAGAAAAGAGGAAGAGACCGGGATGGGGAATACATGTAAATCCATGGCTAATTCATTTCACTGTATGACAAAAACCACTGCAATGATGTAAAGTAATTAGCCTCCAACTAATAAAAATAAATGAAAAAAAAAAAAGAAAAGAGGAAGGTATAGATGCCATGTGCTCAGCCACACCAGCATCATAGGATAATTCCTTAGGGGAAATATTTTTAATCTCTCACAAAAGTACAGGAGGCCAGGAAGCTCTGATGCCCTAAGTCCTTTTCTATAACCATGGCCAACTTCCAACAGAACTCTCAGTGAAGCAGAGTACATCCATTTTTGTAACACAGACAGAAAAGTTTTTAGGCATATCTCAAGTATTTAATTAGTCAGCTCATACTTTTGGCAGGTTTGCAAGGCGTCCTTCATGGCAGAAATGCCGTTTTGGATGTCCTGTTGCTCGAAGGTCATGACAGCCTGCAACACCACAATGGTACTGTAGCCCAAGGCATGGTACATGCTCTCCTTAGCCCTGGGAAGAACATGGAAATGACTGCATTTCAATTCAACTGAAAAGCATTCAGGTCTCATCTGACAATAACCATAAGAAATTCTAGTTCATCCATGGCTTGACTTTCACAGTAACGACTTTTACTCCTGCACCATGATCACTGAAATAACGTGGACCTTGAAAGACATGCCCCCCAAAAACTCAAGCACTGGGGACTTTCCAGTTCAAGTCCAGGCGGGCTGCAGGAAACCTGACAGGTTGAAGCAGAAAGCGACACATGCTTTTCCCTGTTTGAGCACAAGGGGGCAGCCTGCTGACTCATTTCTTAGAAAATGCTTCTAAGCAATCCTAATTTTTCCCAGTTGTACAAGAAGCAGTCCTTAGCTCTGAAATAAGTGTAAAATAAAAGCCATTGAAAATATATTTTGTGACACAGAAATTATGAAAGATAAGGTTTATTTAAAACCATCCCCTCCCTTCTCCTAGGCAGAGGCCGTGAGGAAGCAAGATCTGGGCAACCAGTTAGGTCAGCCACAAAGGGCCGAGACAAAAATTCATGGTAGACCTCTTACCAAATCTCATCTCTTTATCTAGGAACCCTGATTAAAGTTCTTGATGATTCATATTATCAGTAAGAACTGCTTCAATTCTTGAGGACATTTAGTCTCAACGGATGGTACAACCCAGACTCTCAGGCTGTGAAAACCTCACTATGTCTTTCCTCAAAACTTCTCAAGCTATGTTCATTAGTTAATTATAAGATTTACAATATTAACATGCGGTTTTGTTTTTAATTAACATACAATATACAACAGCCTGCTGCTCTGCAAAACAAATACAATCCACATTATTCCTTCCCCACCAGAAAGAGTCTAAACATCCTTTCAGAATCTGCAGTTAGTCCCAAACAGTGAGGGCACTGCTGATTCAAAAAAGAAAACAAACAAACAATATGCAAGGAATAAGAGCAACCCAATATAAATCAGTAATTGTGGTTTTTAAACGTCACCTTTTAAAAAAAAATTCTGTATTGAAGTATAGTTGATTTCCAGGGGCTTCCCCGGTGGCTCAGGGGTTAAGAATCCACATGCAATGCAGGAGCCACAGAAGACTTGGTTCGATCCCTGGGTTGGGAAGATCCCCTGGAGGAGGAAATGGCACTCTACTCCAGTATTCTAGCCTGGGAAATCCCATGGACAGAGGAGCCTAGTAGCTACAGTCCATGGGGTCACAAAGAGTTGGACACAACTGAAGCGGTTTAGCAGACAGCACACATGCATAGCTGATTTACAATGCTGTGTAATTCTCACATTTCAAACCAAAAGTTCTTCCAAGGGGGAAAAAAAGTATTTGAGTGGGAGAAAAAAAAAAAAACAAAAAACATGTTTAACAGTGAAACATTCAGAAAGATCAGAGGATATAAAACTAGACTAAATATAAAATCATGTTGTTTACTTTCATTCCATATTATGACCAGTTTGGGTGTTAGTGGAAGAGGGAAAAAGGAGACTTTTTGAATAAAAAACACAGGAGACAGGCAGGAAGAAGAGAGGGGAAATAAGGAGAGAATGACTGGCAGAGAAGGAGGGAGAGAGAAAGAAAGATGGACACAGAGACAGAAGATGATCTGAAGGACAGACAGATATCTGAAGACTAAACAAGACAAAGGGGAAAAGGTGGCAACAGGCAAGGTAGAAAATGTGAGTGTTGGATGGAGGCAGCACTGGGCAACTTCCTTAGGCCAGGGGCTTCACCATCTATTTTGTTGTCTGTTCCTAACCTCTGAAATGCTAACTGATTGCAACTCATCTAAATCTCAAGAGTTTAATGTGCCTCAGTAAGCACATTACTTTAAGTCCCGTACATACGAACCTTTAAGTTGAGAACTTTCAAAGATTCGAACGTGTGTTCTATCAACATCAGGAATCAGTAAAATTTCAGTTTGCCCTCCATCTCCTATTTCTGATGATTCTTTAGCTCTGTCATTGCCCACCTCCTCTCCCTCCTCCAGGCAGTAATTCTTCTTGCCTGGTCACTGGATGCCAGCCCCTGTATGCCATCTGTTGTACTGTACTACTGTACTTTTCAAGGGACTGCACTGTAAGATTTAAAATGTTTTATTTTTGTGGTTTTCATATATTATTTGTGTGAAAAGTATAAATGTATTACAGTACGGTATTATATAGCCAATTGTGTTAGTTGGGTACCTAGGCTAACTTTGTTGGACTTACGAACAAACTAGACTTATGAACACGCTCTCAGAATGGAATCTGTCTGTATGTAAGGGACTTACTGTAATTTCTAAGAATCAAAGTCAATGACCAGAGTCACATCACCCTCCCCACCCTACTGACTCCTCAAAGCAAAGAGTCCCACTCCCGTGCCCACAAGGTAACCATCTTGAAATTATTATATGAGGTCTAAGTTTCATCCAGGTCAGTGACTGTGTTTGAAGGCATGCTGCTGCTGCTGCTAAGTCACATCAGTTGTGTCCAACTCTGTGAGACCCCATAGATGGCAGCCCACCAGGCTCCCATCCCTGGGATTCTCCAGGCAAAAATACTAGAGTGGGTTGCCAGTTCCTTCTCCAGTGCATGAAAGTGAAAAGTGAAAGTGAAGGCAGGAGGTAAGCTTATTCCTGGCAAGCTCCAGTCACACTGTACAGAGGGGCACTAGGGTCAAAGGGAGGCCTAGGAAGAAGGCTAAGCATAGGTTTTCCTGCCACATCATCAGAATTGATAGGTACTAGTCACTGAAATGGGGCTTCCCAGGTAGCTTAGTGGTAAAGAATCTGACTGCTAATGCAAGAGATGCAGGTTCGACCCACAGGGTTGGGAAGATCCCCTGGAGGAGGAGATGGCATGCCAGTCCAGTATTCTTGCCTAGGAAATCCCCTGGACAGAAGAGCCTCATGGGCTACAGTCCATGGTGTCGCAAAGAGTCAGACACGACTAAGCCTGCACATGAGTGCTGTTAATTGAAATGAAACTGATGTATCACATAAATCAGGAGTCCCAAGAATATTTTCATTACCTTGAATTTCTTTTTAGCCTCCAAGATTAGCATATTTGAGTTCTTCCCATGTCCATTTCAAAGGAAACTTTTCTCAAACATATTTAAGTTCAGAGGAATACCCATAAAAATATTTCATTGAAGAAAACCAAATGATATCTACCTAAAGAAACAAAAGACCTATACATAGAAAACTATAAAACACTGATGAAAGAAATCAAAGAGGACACAAACAGATGGAGAAATATACCGTGTTCATGGATTGGAAGAATCAATATTGTCAAAATGGCTATACTACCCAAAGCAATCTACAGATTCAATGCAATCCCTATCAAACTACCAACGATATTTTTCACAGAACTAGAACGAATAATTTCACAATTTGTATGGAAATACAAAAAACCTCGAATAGCCAAAGTAATCCTGAGAAAGAAGAATGGAACTGGAGGAATCAATCTGCCTGACTTCAGACTATACTACAAAGCCACAGTCATCAAGACAGTATGGTACTGGCACAAAGACAGAAATATAGATCAATGGAACAGAATAGAAAGCCCAGAGATAAATCCACGAACCTATGGTCACCTTATCTTTGACAAAGGAGGCAAGGATATACAATGGAAAAAAGACAACCTCTTTAACAAGTGGTGCTGGGAAAACTGGTCAACCACCTGTAAAAGAATGAAACTAGAACACTTTCTAACACCATACACAAAAATAAACTCAAGATGGATTAAAGATCTAAATGTAAGACCAGAAACTATAAAACTCCTAGAGGAGAACATAGGCAAAACACTCTCCGACATAAATCACAGCAGGATCCTCTATGACCCACATCCCAGAATTTTAGAAACAAAAGCAAAAATAAACAAATGGGACCTAATGAAACTTAAAAGCTTTTGCACAACAAAGGAAACTATAAGCAAGGTGAAAAGACAGCCCTCAGATTGGGAGAAAATAATAGCAAACGAAGCAACAGACAAAGGATTAATCTCAAAAATATACAAGCAACTCCTCCAGCTCAACTCCAGAAAAATTAATGACCCAATCAAAAAATGGGCCAAAGAACTGAACAGACATTTCTCCAAGGAAGACATACAGATGGCTAACAAACACATGAAAAGATGCTCAACATCACTCATTATCAGAGAAATGCAAATCAAAACCACAATGAGGTACCATTA